AGAGACAGAGAGACAGAGAGACAGAGAGACAGAGAGACAGAGAGACAGAGAGAGACAGAGAGAGACAGAGAGACAGAGAGAGCGAGAGAGAGAGAGAAAGGGAGAGAGAGAGAGAGAGAGAGAGAGAGAGAGAGAGAGAGAGAGAGAGAGCGACAAACATTCACGCACGCAAACACCGTATAAACAAGTCCATTCGACGCCCAGCACGTGGCAACACTTTGAATCACACAAAGAGTCCAAGCAGACAGAATTAATATCTATGGTGGTGTGCTCTTACCATGTCAGTGTAATAGGGGGTGCCCACTTCGGATGGGATCGGCCGATCGGCTCAATCGCATGACTCGATCGCCTCAAAAACAATAAAAAGTGTTTGTTTTCAGTTTCAGGTGACCAAGTCGGACAATCAGCCCGATCCAGCTGTCGCGGGCACCCCGTAAGGACGCACCGTTAGGTCAGTTGGTATCATGCTGAACTACGGAGAAAATGACCCTCGTATCGTCTTACTAGAAAGACAAGAAAACACCATCGCTATACATCCTTGCCTGTCTTTTTAAGCTTTAACAACACACACACACACACACACACACACACACACACACACAAAAGCACATGTGCACAAAAAGATGTTTTATTGTAGTTAAACACATTTAGTGGCACAAATAACGTAGGAAGCAGATGTCCTGCTTATGCTCATTCCCTTTTCCCCATGGTTGAGTTTAAGTTCAAGTGGTCGACTCTGCTAGTTGACTGCCGCGGTGGTTACAAACAATAGATTGATGCAAGGCTCTAGAGTAACCTCTTGTGATCTAAGCCTTACCGTTGCACATTTTCATTAAGTCAGTGAGGTAACTCAATGTTTTGTAACTTTCACTACAAGAAACTTTGTACCAAGTTACATTGCTTGTAACATATGGTGAAGAATGTCATGTGTTACTTCGTGCTTTCCAAAATGTAGCGTGTTACTTCATTACTCAATCCACCCCTTACTGAAACTTTAAGGAAATAAAACACGTCAGTGAATGAATGCTTGAAAGGACACTTCTCCAACAGGTTTTACCGCAATATGAGATGAGTAATAGTAAGGCACAAAAGTTTTTTTGTTTTTTTTCTCAGACAGAAGGAACTTCATAAACACTGATGACCTAGAAAGCTCACTTTTACAAGTGTTTATTTTCGCAGCATAATTCTAAATCATTTCTATTTTCAGATCCAAAGTTTGGTGCGTACAACAGCCCCCAACTTGGAACACGCAAACAGGTCACTGTTATTGTGTCCTCAATGGAGGCTAATGGAGAGACTGGGTTTTTTAATGTCACCAGTCAGGTTGTGGATGAGCCAGAGTCTGGAGTGACACAGGCAAGCCAAGCTTCTCCTCCCTCCTTTTCCCCCTCTTTGATATTTCTTTTGAGAATGAGACACGCCCATGAAAAGAACAATGAAAAGATGCCAAAAATGTGAAATTTTTACTCAAAAGAAAATCCTATTATGTCAGCCATGATCAATGAAATTTCTTTAGATTGATGAGATTTTCATGCAAAGATTCTCATACTTCTTTGACAGCTTATGCTGTTCAGGCCGTCGCATACCAAGGATCAGAAAGCACACTATCTTTATCCTTTTTGTGGAGTGAGAGCACTTTGGTTAAGAAATAACTCTACGTTACTTTGATCCCCCAGGTTGAACTTTTGGTGAACCGTGAAGGTTTGAGTGGGTTAGCAGTGGTGCGATGGTCTCTCTCTGGAGATAGAGTCACTGCAGAAGATGTTGTTGCCATGAGTGGCAGTATCACTTTGCAGTCTGGTAAGCAGAGATTTAATGAGGAATGAAACTGTATCTTGACAAAAAGTTATTTTAATGAGATGATATTGAAGGAAAGATATTTGTTTGTTGCCTTGCTTGTTTTTTCTTTTATTTGCCTTTATCTTATATTTTATTATTACTCATTGACTTTATTTATGGCCCTGTGAGGGCTTTGAAGTACAATCAGTTAGTTATTACTTATCATACATTTTTTTCCAGGAGTGATATGTGTTTGTAGATAGATATACTGATATTAATTACTTTAAATTGACAATTTTTAAAGTTTTATTTTACACTGTTAGAATTTCTCGATTACCAAACTAGAATGTCTTAGTTGTTTTCATTTTAAGTACAATATTTATTTCAATTAAACATTTGTGAAGGAGGACAAAAACCTTTTTCTTGCTCTCAAATCTTGGATCTTTGCTTTTGCAAGTTTCTACTGCTGTCTTTGGGCAGAAACATCCATTAGTTTCTGTGTTGTTTTTTTACACAGAATCCGTCGCATCTTACCTCAGAATTTTTTTATTCTTAATTTCAGGTATGTCAGAAGCGTCTTTGTTCATAGGAATTCTACCTGATGATACGCCTGAGTTGGATGAGGTCATGGTTGTTACTTTAGAGAGCATTGAACCATTTGACACTCAGAGACTAAGGCTGGGCTCCACTTCAGTCTCTATCACTGTCAGGGCCAATGATAATCCTGGCGGAGTGATAGAGTTCTCTTCTCTGATGAATCTCTCTTACAGTGTATCAGTAAGTGACTTTTGATTTGACTATTTACATGTAATGTGTTTACAGCACAATGCAGCAGCTTCATTGTTGCTTGTATTTTGACCACATAAATGTCTCAAAATTTTTTGTTGTTGCTGCTGTACCATCAATCAACAGATGGGCAATGAAAGAGCTTAGCAGTAGCTAGGAATGGTGGATGGGGAGTGGGGGGAGGAGGAGGGAAGGGGAAGTGGTGGAGAAAACTCTGAAGAGGAAGAATAAATAACATTTATGTCTAATTTACACTAGCTTGAATTTTGTCTTATTTGACCTTTAGTCTGGTTTTTATTTAATGAGAATGTCAGTCATTTTGAATGCTGCAATAATGTACAGTTTTGTTGAAAAAAAAATGTTCATATTGTTTATGAATTAATGCTAATCATATTTTGATTTCAGGAAGGAGTTGAAACAATAAACGTCATAGCAGAGAGGACAGGGGGTACCTTGGAAGAGAGTTCGGTACAATATTCTGTCGTTCCCAATGGAAATGAAGAATTCTTTGGGGGAACAAAGATTTTATACTTTCCACCTGGTGTTAAACAAGCGACAGGGAGAATTCTTGCAAAAGAGGACGGAATACCAGAGGTACTCTTCTTTTACTCTTATAGGTGTAAATAGTTTGGTTTGTGGGTACCAACAAAATTTTCAAAGACTGTGGCTCTTTGTTTTATATTTATCCTCTTGCATATTGTAATAAAAAAAATGTCTACTGATTTAAAAAAGGGTACTGTACTTTTGAAAACCAATGCATTGCATTATTTACAACTTGTAATGTGTTATGCACATTGTTCCATATCAGGGTTACTGTCCAATTTGAGGTACGAACAAAACGGTTCTTAGTAACACCATTGGTGTCATCTATTTATTATTGTGTGCAGAATACTATTTTTAGGGAGGAATATCTTGTGTACAAAGAAAAAAGCAAAAAGTGTGCAAATATTTTGTTTGAGAAGCAAAACAAATTGTTTATCTGTGCCATTGGAGCTGATTGTAGATTATGTTTTTTTTTAGGGAGTGATCTATCATTTAGGGTAATCCTATAATGTGTGTGAGTGTGTGTGTGTGTGTGTGTGTGTGTGTGTGTGTGTGTGTGTGTGTGTGTGTAAACACGCTTAATATTTCTGCCTATTTATTGGTATATATGCTAGTTGGTTTATTGATCTGTTCTTTTATAAAAGTAGTAATAAAAATGGATGTTACAAGGATCCCAAACAAATTCGTCAAACAAGGCATACGAAATGTTCTTCATTGCATTGTCTGTTAAGAATTCTATTAATTTTTTATTATGTATTGCTTTCCATTCAAGGTCAGTGAACGTTATTTCCTTGAATTGTCTCCTGTTGGCTCGGCTGTTTTGGGCGAAAGGACTCGCATCACTATCAGAGTAGCAGGAAGTGACAACCCATATGGGGTCATCCAGTTCTTCAATAGTCCTATGGCAGTATACACAAGTGAGATATGAAACCTACTGAAAATTTGCTTCTGTTTGGTATAAGAATACCATTTTTCTAAATGATAAAAAGGTTTTCTGATTGACTAGGACAAGGGTTCTACTTTCTGTTTTCAAATGTAATATATTAAAATGCAAATTTTAACAAATGAATTCTTAAGATAAATTCACATGAAAGTTCTGAGTTTTAACTTACTGGCCTGACTTACAAATTACGATTACCTCTGATGTGCTCAGGCAGTTCTGGAGATCTAGAGGTTGCTGCTAATTTTGTGGGATGAATTTGATAAACAGGTTCATCTTTTTCAACAGTTCATTATGTTTGCTGGCATGGAATGTGTCAACAAATTACCTCCTGTTCTTGCTTGACTCTTACTGGTAACTCAAGTATGTTTCAGAATTCTGAATTTTTGTACTGTCTTTCAATGCCTAATAAGGAGTGCATGGGAAAAGTTGGCAAGTCACAAAATGGAATTGGGAGAACAACAATTTTAAAAGCTTGTAGGCTCATAACTTCATTTCTGTTGGACTGCTGGTATATTATTTTTATTTGATTTCCCTTTCATACTCACAAAAATGAACCATTAGTAGAATAGAATAAATGGAGTTATGAGCCTTCAAGCTTTTCTTTATTGATTAAGTCAAGATTTCCATTTTGTAACTTTGCCCGCGGTTTTTTCAAGGACTTCGATCTCGCATGTTTTTTTGGTTGTCATATTATGTGCCCAGTGAACATGGTGCTGTTTGATTTATCCTTTAAATATGCTTTCAGTGTAAATTCTGTTTCTATTACTTAGGTGAAGGCCAACCTGGAGAACAGCTTGAAGTGTCTATTCAAGTCCAAAGAGACCTGGGCACATTTGGAACCGTTCAAGTTCCCTGGACAGTGACACCGGCAGGTCAAACAGATCTAACACCTCCTAGTGGAACTTTGGTGTTTGAGCCAGGCCAAGCTGACAAAAACATAACTTTGACAGTGGTGAATGATGAGGTGATGTTTCTATTTTTAAAAAATCTTTGTGCTACTTTTGTAGACAGAATGTATGCAATGCTTGTAACATGAGGTTAAGGTAGAATTCGTGTTGATTTTGTTTTTTAAAAAAAAGCATCTACCATGCTGTATGAAGTGAGAACTTGTAGAAAAGGGGAGGGGAAGTTGGTTGTATTTATGGTGATTTATTTCTTTCATACAGGAGAGCTAAAATATGATTTAGGAAAACTCCTTATGTTTTGATTTTGAAATGCACTCTTCAAGAAAAACACAGAATATGATTACGCTTAGGAACAAATGTGATTTTTGGTACCTAGAAAACAGTTGTTATCTAAATTTCAGTCCCTTATAGAATCTCATGATTTTTAGTTCAACAAAATCAGCTGATGCAATTGTGTTTCGTACAATTTATCTTCAGCTGCCAGAGCCAGATGAAACTTTTGCCTTACAACTGTCAGCGCCTGATGGAGGAGCTGTGGCAGGGAGCCCCATGGTAGCCACGATAACTGTGCTAGAAAATGATAACCCAGTAGAGTTCTCAGGTACAAACTAATTTTTTTATTTATTGATTTAGCACTGTTCAATTTTTTTATTTTAAAATTTCTTTTGAGACAATATCTTTCATTAACAATTATAGAATGTTTTGGCAAAACATAGCCTTGTAGATTGGGAGAAGAGGCTAATTGATCAGGGCAGAAAAGCATGTGCTCCCTTTAAATCTTCCATTTTGATCAAAAGTTTATGTATATTACTTTTTATATTTATGATGGTTTTATTGTTCGGTGATGAGAATATGTTTTGTTTGGAATGGATTGTATTAATAGTTTTGCCTGTTCATTTTAGAGTAAATCTCACAATTTACTTATTCATTTTAGAGTCAATTTTGCCAGTAGTCTATTCATTTTAGAGTAAATCTTGTCAGTAGCTAAGTGAAGGTCACTCTTTTTCAGATCCATTGATCTACACGTTGGAGCCTTCAGACGTATCTCTTACTATAGTTCGCCGAGGGAAGCTGGAGAATCCTTCTACTGTGTACTATCGCACTCTTGATGGCTCGGCATCCATGCTTGACCAAGACTACAGGCCGGTACAGATTCAAGAACTTGTGTTTTCTCCTGGAGAAAGGGAGAAGGTGATAACAATTGTTGTTTGGGAGGATGATGTTCCAGAAGGGAATGAAACGTTCTCTGTCCAGCTTTTTGATGTCAGTGGTGAGTGTGTGTATTTAATCAGTGCCTTAATTTAGCTTTGTGCGAGGAAGGTAAAAAGTTTTATAGTATTTCTTTGCTCATCTAGACGTTATGTGATTGTTGAATCCCACCTCCCCCAAACAGTGTTTTCTCTAGTCATTATTTTTTCTTTGGTCATATTGAAACTTGAGCAAAGTTAACAGATTTCAGATTTAGTAGGGTTGCTCTGCCCTGTTTTCCAGCCTTTTTACTAATGTTTGATAAGCCCCCTTTTGTCAGTATTTGGGGCTAACTGTACTGTACAGACAAAAGCCTTTTCAAGTGTTGATAAATGTTGATAATAGACAGCCCGTTGGTTTCCATATATTGCTTTTCTTGTCTCATCAACCACAGGGGATCTTATTACTACAGAGGACTCCACAGCTACAATTGTGATATTAGCCAATGATGATGCTTATGGTGTGTTCAAGTTTGCTCCCCCTGCCCAGGGAGAAGTGGAGGAAGGCAGCACAGTCTTTTTTGAGTAAGTACTGCTTCATTCCTTCAAGTTATGGCTTGAAAGATATCTACCCTTTTCAGTGATCTTTTACATTCCTCATGTTTGATATACTGTGATATCTAAGGTGATTTTCATTCTTTTGTGTAGATATACACTCTTTGACTCTCTAAATGCTAATCCTGATAATTTCAATTTTCTTCAACACTGGCAGTGTCCAAACCCAGGCCATATTGGTACGGGATTTCCATGCTGATTATGGCATCGCAAAATTATTTTTTTATTGGACAATTTCAACTTGCGTATTTTAAACAACCAAAGCTACAAAAGGGGGGAAACACTGGAGAAACGAGTGAAAATAACTCTGAAAGCAACAGAGTTCCAGCACGTATCTTATAAGACTTTTTTTTTACACAATGACAGCTCAGTGTTGTACAGGATTCACAGTGTTTTGGAAATGATCTCAACGGTTGATTCAGATCATATAGAACATGAGTTAAGCAAAAGAAGTGACACCCAAAGAAGTTACTTATGATGTACTGTCTTTTAAATGACCATGTCTGGTCTTTTGTTTCTTTTTAGTACACTTATTTATGTTCACTCACATTTATCACTCTTACATATAAAAATTGAATGTACTGTGAAAACAACAAGAAAGTATTCTGGTCTTTTATTACAGCATCATTCGTGATCGTGGCACCTTTGGATCTGTTCGTGTTTTCTGGGAACTGAGGACTCTGAATAACATCAAACTCGCACCAAATGATGGGTTTGAAGTCACCAGTGGTCAGATGGATTTTGACCCTCAGGAGAGTCGCAGACCTTTGGGTATTACTCCTTTGGCAGATGAGGTTCCAGAGAAAGCGGAGCAGTTTTTGCTGGTCCTTACACAAGTGGAGGGTAATTTACTCTTTTGTTACTGTTCAATACTTTTTTTAGATAAGGCTTTAGCCTGGTAAAAGAGGTATTGTAGCGGTAGACCAAAAACATGTTATTTAGAGAAGTTGAATAGATGAGTTACAAGAAGAAAAGATTAGGATAAGACAGGTTTACAGATGTCTGTTTATGATCTGGCCCTGTAAGAAGAAACAGAAGCAGAGTTTTTGGCTGGGATGGTTATGTCTTGAATATTAAATATATTTGTTACTTTTGTTTCTGGTCCAGCTATTCCTGGGCTATTGGCCTTAAACCATAAAATAATTGGTGAGGGCTGTCTTCAGTTTTTGTGAGGTCCCATAGAGTGCATTCTCTGTCTGACTGTGTGGGAACAGAATAAATAGACGAATCATCTAGCTGGAGGGATTGGTCACTGTGTCTAAAACAATACTCTTGCACTCCTTTCAGTTCTGTCTGGGCTAGATACAGCTGGGTTGGCGTCTCTGGCTAGCAAAGACCTGGTAGCCACAGTCAATGTTGCTGCCAGTGATGATCCTTATGGGAGGATGGCCTTTGCCTCAGAGGCGAGAGAACTGAGTGTGGCGGAGGATGTATACCCTGGCAATGAAGCGAGCAGGCAGGCAAGATTTGTGGTGGAGAGAAGGCAGGGGACACAGGATCAAGTGAAGGTAAGCTAAAACTGTTATTTCAAGTATATTTTTGTGCTGTTTTACAATTTACTGTGCTGGAAATCTTGCAATGGAGGCAGCCAGGGGTTTCTACCCTCCTCAAATGAGGGTCTCATGCTTTTTTTGGCTTTTAACTGGTCATTTTCAGCAAGTTTTCCATCACTGACATAGAACTTTCGTTTGAGCATCATCCCCTTCTGACATTTATATCAGAACCTTTTTGTTGAAGAAAAATGTTAATTAATGTACAAAATCAATTCACCCACATGTCTATATTAATGTTGCTTTGTTACTCTTTGGCGACCTAGGAGAGAGAATTTTCCTTACTTCCCTTCCTTGTTGGATGTTAAAGGTCATCATCAGTTCATATTGGAAGAACTGTTAATGTTATTATTATTATTATTATTATTATTATTATCATCGTCATCATCATTTTCATTATTATTAGTGTTATTATTGTTATTATTACTATTATTACTAGTGTTACTACTACTACTATTATTATTATTATTATTATTATTATTATTATTATTATTATTATTATTATTATTATTATTATAGTTATATTACTATTATTATTGTTATTGTGTTAGTTTGATAGGATTACCTACTCATTGTTCTTTGGTATTTGTACCACACATGAAGCCAACAGCATATTTCAGTCTGTTACTTTTAACCCCATACATTGTGAACTCGTGTGTCATTTGAGATTTATCTTCCTTTTCCTCAGGTCCTATGGGAGATCTTCTCCGACCAGGTGGGAGGGAACTTGCCGCCAGTTCATGACCTTTTGTTCATCAGTCAGTGGCCTGGCTCCATGAACGATGTGACGGAAAAAAGGAGACTGGGCACAATGACGCCAGCACTGCTCTTTTCTGGAGCTTTTGGTAAGAAAAACAGTTTTGTTTGAGTAATGATAAGTCCTGATAGGGTTATAAGATATTCAATAGTAAATCGAAACCCCTTCTATTTTCAGAGTCTTGAATTCATTCAAAGATGGCAAATGGAAGACTCTTTAGAGATCACGTGGAAAGTTTTTATTTTCCTCATGTTTATGCCTCTGTTGTCTTGCCTTTTTGCATTTTACTAAATGCTTTTTACTGAAATCTTAAAAAGATTCAAAGTGCATAATGTTATTTCTATTGAAATTGCATGACATTCTCGTGTATTGAATTTTCTTTAAGTATCATTGTTATGATAATGATATAATAATAATGATAATAATAATAATAATAATAATAATGATAATGATAATGATAATGATGATGGTGATAATAGTAATAATAATAATAATAATAATAATAATAATAATAGTAATAGTAATAATAATAACCTAATAATAATAATAATAATAATAATAATAATAATAATAATAATAATAATAATAATAATAATAATAATAATAATGGTAACAGTAATGATAATAATAATTCTAATAACAATAATAACAAAGCATTTTGACAGCACATACCCCAATTCAAGTGTACTTTGAATGTATTTAAGATTTATAATTGCGACTGAGTCTTTGGTATTGCAAAACATCCTCAGTTTTCTAAGAATTAAGGATCAGAACAAGCTGCCATTCTGCAAGCTCCCAAATGCTAACATATGTACACGATCTTTCACTGTCTTAACCAGGCACCCATTTCAACCTTTCTGAAGTAAGGAAAATTTGTGTAAAGTGTCTTTCCCAAGGACACAATGTTAGGCCAAGACTGTGAATAAATAAAAGTATTACATTTTATTTGTACTGTGGTCAAAATTTTTTGAGAAGGAGATTTTTGTTGTGAGTTTGTACACTTTCTGCTTAGTCTCAGTGTTACAGGTTTCAGCCGTAAATATTTTTAAGGGAGTGGTAAAATTTCATTTTAATATGTATGGGTCTTTGCAGGTTCATATGTGACAGTTGCTCAAAGTGACATACCAAATGTCTCTGAGGCCACAGATGGTTTCACGCTCTCAGCATGGATTCAGCCTCTGATTGCTGCCAATGGCTACATATTTGCTCACTGCACTGCAGATGGCTTAACGCACTTCTACAGTTTGAAGATAACAACCTCAGATACTGTCTCTTACCTGCAGTTCAGGCTGTCTACACTTGCGCAGGTAAAATAAAAAAAATAAAAAAATCAATTACACTTTTATTCGTTCCAGAAGGGCACCTTGGTTTACAATGGCAAACATACATATACATAAACAAATACATATTACAAATACAAACATACGTAAATACATTCATAAATACATACATAAATACACAATATTACACAATATTACACAAATAGAGTACTTTGGAATCTAAATGTTTAAATGATATATAAATTTATTCTTATTAGTGTATGAAACTTTTCTTAATCTGGAGCTAAGAGATTTAACAGGCTCATTTATTTGTGGGCTCTTCACTCTCTTCTCTGTTTATATTTTTATTTTGTAGCATGCTTAGATGTAAATAGGTTTGTTCATGAGTTATTTGTTGAAGCATTTCCTTTTTCATATTTAAACGAAAAAATTGCACTCATTAAAATTAGGTACTCACTTTCAACAGTGCTATGTAATGATTGTCTCTCTTAATTAATTCTTGGACCTTTGAGGGCCTATTATTTTTCAGAGATAAGATGTTTGTGTCTGTCTTGCTCTTTGTTTTGATGGATGTAAGGTGCAGGAATCAAATTTTACCAAAAAAGAAAAATGAAATCATTGTTTTGACTGGTTACCCACTTCCATGCTGGTTGATACCTCCCTCCACCCCTTTGTGAAGCCACAGAAGCCGTCAATTATAAGGGTTTGTGGGCTATAAGCTATGATTTTTACTTGAGGTTGTGACCAATTGAATGATTTAATATGTATGTGCTGTTTGAATTTTTTGTTATGTAACCTTTGCCATTGTCTTTTTATCCTGTTTCATGTGTAGCCTTCTGTTGTGATTGATGTGGAGTCCTCAACTGTAATACAGGATGGGCAGTGGCATCATGTGGCAGTTGCTGTTGGAAACACTAGTGTTGCTTTATATATTGATGGCAAGGTTGTTGGAAGCAGGTGGGTGTGTTTGTATGCCTTCATAACCAATCCAATGATCTGCTTTGTAGGTTTTGTTACTTCCCTCTGTTTTCAGTGTTACTTGAGGTACTTTCTGAAATATCAGTTTACAGGGGTTTTATGTAGAGCAAAAGGATGCTACAAGGTGGGTTTTTTTTTTACAGTGTAAGCTATATAGGTCATACTTAAGATAAAACAGCACACAACTGTTGGTCTGAGACTACATAGACCTGCTTTCTGTATTATTTTCTTTCTTAGGAATAGTGTGATATGGGACTTGAAATTTTAAAAGGTACGCTTATTTGAATGTTAGTGTCCCAATTCGAAGTCTGTTCATTAATTGTCAATTTCAGCATTTTTTTGCTTCTCTTTACAGAGCCATTGTTGAGTCCTCAGTCCCGACTGGTGGAGTGTTACTGGTTGGAGCTCAGCCCCCTGGTACTGACATTTTTGCTGGCTACATGCAGGATGTTAGGATTTTCATGAGAGCTTTTGAATCCAGGTACTGTTTCAAAATTCATCTTTCATTGTGTTACCATCATCGTCATAATGGCTGTCCAGCTGTTTACATAGATATATAGCCATTTTTCAATAAGAAAAGTTAAGGAAAATTTGCTTTTTGGGCTAAACTTATGGTGATCACAAATGTCGTTGGTTCTGGTGTTTTAACAGTATGAATTGTTAAATCATTTTTAAATTTTGCATTACTTTTGTCTGTGCAGTGCGATTGCTGAACTGTATGCTACTGCCCCCACGGATGACATCAACCCCATCTCAGGGACTCTAACCTACGGGTCTGGTGTGCGCAGCCAGTCCTTCTCGATATCGTCAGTTCCTGATATAGAAGAGGAGGGCAGGGAAGTGTTCATTGTGGCTTTGCTTGATGCCACCGGGGGAGCTACTCTTTCTGTTACAGATTCACGGACGACACTATCAGGTGATTTGCTTATAATTCTTCTTTTGCTGAGTTATTCACAAGCTTTGTCTCACTCTTATTGATCTTGTTAGAGGACTCCTAGATATTCATCTCTTGCAGTCGTGATTCTGATGTTAATTCATTGATTTGGAAAATTATGTTTTTTCCATTTATTCAAATATTCTTGGTTTTTGTCTTTACTTTTGATTTTTATGCAATGATATGGCTTGTGTGTCTGTAATTTTCTGTCTGTTGTACCATTTAGAGCTTGAACACTATTTCTTTTCACAGTTCTGAAGAGCGACAATGCAAATGGATTGTTTGGTTTTGAGCAACAGTGTGTCCCTGTGAGGACTCAGTTTGAAAACGAGACTGTGGTCTGCACTGTGGTCCGTGACCGTGGCGATGACGGCTCAGTGACTGTGTCCTGGGTGGTTGAACAACGGCTTGGGCAAGGCACACTGGTTGATGCATCTGCCGATTTTGAACAGAACAGTGGGAGCATTGTATTTGGGCCTGGAGAGCGAAAAAAGGTCGGAACTAACTCCCAACTTTTTCTACTCTCATTGCTAAACATGGTCAAATGGACTTATTTGTTTTTCTTGCTACATCAATGATATTTCTGTTTGTCTGAGTAAGAATTTTAATGTGTTTCATAGATGTTTGTTAAAAACAAAAAGGCATTTTTGAGGCCTATAATACTCTTATTCTTGTTGGAGAATTTTTAACCTGCAATCGGTCAAACCTGACCGAAAGAAAGACGTTGTTTTTGCTCCTTTAGTTCTTGAATTTTGGAAGAAAGAAGTAAGATATGATGAGTGCACATTTTGCAGAGATGTAGTCAGACTATCAACATTAAAAACAGATATGGGTTTTTTTAGTTTAGTATGGGGTTTTACGGCGCTCGCAACTGCATAAGGTCATATGAGCGCGCAGGATAAGGGTTTGTGCATTCAATTGTTTCTGTGCCATCTGTGGGAACAACCTGTTATCAGTTGCTTTTTATGCTTTCACAGAATTTTGAGGTGAGAGTGAAGCAGGAAACAACACCTGAATTGGATGAAATTTTTCAAATTCGTCTCACGTCTGTTACCTCAAGTGATGGCTTTGTGGGGTCTACCAATGTCAGTGGTGCTAGCATTGATAGCACCAGGGAAGTGTCCCAGCTGGTGGTAGAAGAGAATGATTACCCGTACGGATTGTTGCAGTTCTCGGACCAGCCAGGGGTTATCCCAACGTCAGGAATAATGATTGAGCCAGTGACCTCGACTGTACAGGTAAGTCAGAACTTATAATAATATTGTTTTAAAGATAGAAAGGGTTATATCACTGGCTTTTGAAATAAACTTTTTTTTGTTCTGTTAAACTGAAAGGTCTTGCATGATGTCACATAACGGAGAAGCCAAGAAAAGCTTTCCACCGTATGATACCCCTACCTTCTTTTACTATTGTAACACAGTTAACCAACGTATAGTTTTCAGCATTTGTACATCTCTTACTCTCTCACTTGTATAGCATTACTCCATGGAGTATTGGCTACCCTCACTGACCTGAAAGTCTCCTTTCTTCACTTCTACCTTCTCTATATCTTTGCTGCTATAACCTTTCCATTTTACAGTTTTTGCTTAGTTCATCCGTCTCTCCATAGATGCCTTTTTAATTAATATGTCTTTACGGTTTAGGTGGAGAAGTTGATTTCTTCACACCTTAATGTAATTTCTTTTTTGAAATTCTGAATTTTAGGTCTCAGTGAGTGAAGAGGGTGGCTTGATTCCCTTGATTGTCCAAAGAGCTCAGGGCACGCTGGGAACAGTGAGGGCAGAATGGCGAACAACCGACAGAACAGCGCTCAGTGAAGGAAAGTCGCCACCTGATTATGTGGTAAGGAATAACAGTTGTATTTGAAAACTATATATCCAAATGTAAATTCATTGTTCAAAAAGGTTTTAATGATGCAATTTTCTATCGTGTAGTCAAGGATAAGAAGAGAAATTTGCTGTTATTTATTTAATATCTCATGTCCTTGAACGAATAGTAATTTGTATTTCTGCTTTATATTAAGTTTCATTCAACAGCGATTTAGAAAAGTTTTTGTTACTACTGACAAGTAAAAATTTGTCATTTTTTTCATAACATGAATTTTTTTTTGTTCATAGCTTGAGGTGAGTAAAATGTCCTGGTGATGGGTTGTCATTTGTAGCATTTTCTGTTTTTATGAATTGCTTCATTTCCTGGTCATTCTTGCAAAGGAAAGCAGTTATTAATTTTTTTAGAATTATTATTATTTTTTACCATTCTCTGTTTTTGCCTGCTGTATTTAAGGATGAAAATGTTAAAAATACAAAAGCACTATTAGAACTACGTATTGTGGTTCCCTTTCTTTCTTCCCAATTTGGTTGCGCGAGGTGATTTTTTTTTCAGACTGTTGTTGCTGTCTCATATGGTGTGCCAATTAGTGCGATCAGGTCGGGTCGTCGGGTCAGGTCGTTTCTGGTGGCTTCACTGTACACCACAACCCCTTTCCGATTGTACCCGATGACCTGGAAGTTAAAGTAGATTTTGACCTCCATGGCTTCCAGTGCCCTTAATTTGGCTATCCCCGACTAACAAATCAAACCGACCCAACCCGACCCGACCGCGCTAGTTGGCACTCCCTGTAAGATTTGGAAAAAAATCTTCCCTTCTTTTCCACACTGTTTCATTTTAGCTTTGGACCCTTGATAATCAAATAGGCATGATGGATGGGGATTTTAGGAGAAAGTTGTGTTTGTAAGAATATGTTTGTCTCTCAGATAAGTCTGATTATTGTTTGGAGTTTTATTTTAACTTTTTCTTGTACTTATTTTTTTGACTTATGATTTAGCTGACACTGTAGAAGTGTTAAGCTTAGGCATCTTTCAAATACCTGTACAAGAGTGCTAAGGTTTTGGTTTTTGGGTTTTTTTTCCACACTTTTCTTTACCAAACAGGCAGCCTATCATCTCTATTTTGTTTTAATTTTATTTGTAAGTTTTGATTTGAAAATATTGGTTAACGTCAAAGGAAAAATCCCTTTTTTTTTCAATCCTTATCTTATTAAGTTATGTAAATTTGTTATAGGCCATTCTGTTTTGAGGAAGAAACTTTTTTATACCCTGCTTAAACTTGTGAATGGTCTTGAAGTTATTATCTTGTTATTTACCCATAGAGTTAACTTTGTGGCTCCCACTGCTACTCTCTTATGCAATAAATAAGATACAGTGAACGACATGCAAAAAGTGAAGTGTTATTTCAATGTACCTTATCCACAACTGACTGTTTCTTCATTTTATGCCTTGAAACTGGCATTTCCTTCTACTGCACTTTAATTAAAGTTTTTCTACTTCCAAGAAATAATGGAGAAAAGGCAAAGGAAGAAAAATATTCTTTATGTGAAAGGAGAAAACAAATTTATTTTCTCTTGCCGGGTTTTTTAAAAATATTGTTTAATCAATTCGTAAATTGTCAAAAGGTAATTCCTCTCATGCATCTACATGTACTTTTATTTTAATGCAATGCCAGAAAGTAAAGAAAAGAAGCAAAAAATGGTATCTTTAGTACCTCTAGCTGTTGTTTTAATTGAGGGCTCCTCTTTAAATTTTTAAAGTCACGGTAAGATTTATTTACAGAACTTGTGAATGAATGAGAGTATCATTAAAGTTTTATAGACAGAAGAGCTATACATATTACAGCAATCTTGCCTTTGACTTTGGTGCATTTAAACAACATTGTGACTGGGTTATTTCAGGGAGCAGTTGGCAGCATTGTGATGGGTCCTGGAGAAATCTTTGCCTTTGTCAACGTCACAGTGAAAGACAACAGCTTGCCTGAAGCTGCGAAGATGTTTGAGGTGGAGCTGCTCAACCCAAGTGGTGGGGCAGCCCTGGGCCCTGGAGCACTGGCTGAGGTCAACATTGAAGCTTCTGATGGGGCTTTTGGCATCTTTCAGTTTGCTGATAGTGCTCTTGATATTAAAGCTCCTGAAGAGGATGGTGATACCTTTAATATTGTTAGACTGCAGGTGAGCTTTGGTCTTCTGGACAATCTCTGTTCGCTATGTTTAAGTAGATCCCATGTGCCTTCTTTGTCTTGTTGGAGGTTACTTTTTCTTTGCCGTCTTGTCTACAGCATGTTTGGTCTTTCCTGTGAGGATCTGGCCACAGACATTAAAGGTCCTGGCTATACATGTGGGTGGAAGTAGGCTACATACATCTGCTGCTGGATTTTTATTGCAGCATCTTTTCCCTTGTTGTTTACCTTATGCTGCTCCATGCTGTGGTTTTTTTTTTACACTGGACAAAAATATGCTGATAGAATGTTGTTGTTGGGGAATTTACACATTTTCATTCAACACTTATCAACTCTTGTTATATGACTGATCCACTGGACAGTATGCTTGGCCCATTTTAGCATGACCAGAACTGTGTCGATAAAGCTGTAAAGCATCTACTCGATCAATCTATTTAAAAAACAGTTTTAGCATTTGCTTTTCTTTGAAAAAAGATAGTACAGTTTCTACAATACTGACACATATGCATTATTACCTGTCCTTCAAAGGTTCTGCGCTTTGGTGGCTTGATTGGCTTGTCTAAAGTCTCTTGGGAAGTCAGAGAAAATGAAGATGATGGCCTTGATGTCATCGATAGACGGGGACTGCTGGAGTTTGAGCCAGGTCTAGCCTCAGCAAACATTGAACTTCAGATTAGAGGAGACACCGTTCCAGAGCTAGATGAGGTTGTGACTGTGAAGCTGATTAATTCACTCGGGGTAAGTCAACATTTATAGGACCCCTGTACAGGTTAAAGCAAGCTTTATATTCATCTTAAAGTTTTGCAAGTGGTTCTCAAATATAAATGCTTTTGTCATGCAAGGGCACATTTGATATAATACTTAAGATATTCATCATAATTATGAATCAATACTTTTCAGTAAAGGTTCAATAGTGTGTCTTTTCATTTACATTCACATAGACAATATGCAACACATAACATTGGATCCAATTCTTGTTGCACTTTCTGCTGTTTTGAACACAGTGAACATTGTTGATTGTGATGAATCTTGTTATCAGTAGTACAATGTACTTCCTTTTTCTACTATAGGCATAAAGAAAAAAAAATCAAGGGAGAGATCAGACGACTGATGTTATCATTAACACAACAAATCAAAACCAGGTTTGCATTTTGTAAAATGCAGTCAATTGTATACGCAAGCCCTTCCCAAAAGAAACAAAAGGAAATTCTAAGTGGGAATGAATCTCAAATTATACAATTTGTGACTTACCTTCTCCTGCTCTGAAATTTTATTTTTATTCCAGTATTGAGTCCTTTTGTGATTTTGTTGCAGTCAGATTTTTTCCCCCCTTCTTCAGGTATGGGTTATTTATCCAGACAAAGCTGGACATATATGTGAGAAATAATCCTTTTTTTCTTCTTTTTACACTTTAAAGGGACAGCTTGGAGACCCTCTGAAAAGAACGGCCACTGTTACAATCTTAGCCAACGATGACCCATATGGAAAATTTGTCGTGCCCTCTTCATCAAGACATCTGACAGTTCAAGAGTCCCTTCAAGGTATGATCGGTATAAACACTGTAAAGTTCTAATCCTTTGATTTCCACATTTTATTTCCAGGTTTCAGTTTCCTTTTTTGTTGTTGTTGTGCTTTTACCTTTATTATGTCAGTGTACTTATCTTCAACTCAAGGATCTTTTAAATGGTTACTCTGACTATGATGGTAAGGAAATGACTAAGAACTGTGAAAGAAGATATTCCTTTCCATGGTATAAGCAGAGATCATATAGTTTTTACGTTTTAACTCATTCGCTACATATTATTTTCGGCTTGTGGACGAATTCTTTTCGGGAGGGCGAAATGAGATGATGACTAGTGCGCAATTCACAGGTCTTTGGGGCCATAAATTCAAATAAATATCAACATATTATATACCAGCATTTTCAGTATGGTTTTTAGAATACACCTGCATTATTTATTTGCGTATTTTTCAACTTTGGTTCCTGTAAGAGGCGATTATGCAACACAATTGTGATTGGATGCAGATAAAATTGGAAAATAAAAAATTTATAATCTCAGGTGAGACTAAAAAAACATGTTTGCACCTAGTCAAATGATACCTCAAAATAACCATAACTGTATATAGAACAGGAAAATATTGAAAAATGTGCAGTTATTTACATACATTCCATAATATTTGTACATTTGGATCATAACATCCGATATTGAAAAAAAAAAATTTTTAAAATAATTTTGAAAAAAGGATCACAAACAGAAAAAAATACGCGTAACTTATATGGAATTATTCAGAATTGCATTTGGAATAAACCTACACATGTCTTGAGTGGTACTTTTTGATTAATTTCACCCAAAAGTAGTGATTTTGGGGAGGAAAAAATATTTTGACTATTTAGATCTAGGCCTAGATCTAGCACTCAAAAATATTGATTTCTCAATTACAGTGCACCGGCAATTTGCGTCCAATAGTATCAATATTATAAAGAAGAGTCCTGCACTTCTTTAGTGAGCAAAATAATTATACATTTTGTTGTGTAAAAGTACTAAGACTGGTGTCTGGGCTATAATTTGGGCTTCGCGATAAAACAAAGTCAAATAAACTACGAAATCATGTTTCAAAACTGAATCAAAACTTCCGATTTTCGGTGGAAACGCTTGACCCGGAAGTCAACATTATATTATGACCTTTATTTTAACATGGATAAGTGGATTGGAATAGAAACGAAGCTAAAATTGAACGTCGGTTCTCGAGCCGCCGGGGGCGGCTTAACGTACTGACGGCACTTGAGCCGCGCCGCCCCCCACGGCTCGGCGTAGCGAATGAGTTAAAAATAAACCAAGATGTATTGTGACTGAAAGAAAAAGTTTACCTTGTTATCAGGTATGGGTAACTTTAAAGAAGTTCTTATTATTTGCTTTTTTATGTTAATTTTGATAATAAGACTTTCTTGATACTTAGTGTACAGCATGGTATGGTCTTTGCTGATTCGCAGACGTTCGAGTCATTGTTCAACGTGAGGGTGGAGCTTTTGGTTCAGTAGAGGTGGATTACGTGACCTTAGCTCGCAGCGAAAATTATCCTTTCCTACCTGGGCCTGTGCTGAGGGCAAGCAGCTCGTCTGACTATCTCCCCACCCAAGGAACCCTCTCGTTCACTGAGGACCAGACAGTGGCGGAGTTCACAGTGAGGATCTTGGATGACTCCGAGCCAGAGCAGGATGAAAGTGTATTTGTGAGACTCACAGCTGTCAGACTGGTACAAGCTGCACAGCTGAATCCAGGTATTTATCTTTTGTAGCAAATTGGTTGCAGCACTCTTTCATTTATGTGATTTTCTCCTTCTTGGTTTCTGGTTTATATTTGCTTCAGTGCGGTCTGATCCATTTACATCTTTTTAAAAAATATTCATTAAAATACACTGTGTTGGACAAAATGTAATTATACTTTCTCACAGGTAAAGCGCAACTTAATGCTGGCCTGTGGTAACCTTTGCATAACAGTTAGATGGTAGAATATTATGTTTTGAAGATTTATTTTTTAAAATTTCATTTGTTGTAAAAAAACCAACCAATTCTATATTTTGAGATGCTCTCTCATCCAGCGTTTGTTGTGCATATTTTTTGGTTCTGGTATGTTTAGATCCTTTACTTATACTTTAAAAAAGGGATGACTTTTAACAAACATTTGTCTTTCATATTTAACTCTTCATGTCTGTAGAGGATTTTCGTTCTGACCGAAGCCTCCCATGCAGGGACTGATCTTATACAGCAGTAGGGTGGGTTACAAAAAAGTCTATATTACTTTCAATCTACTAGGCCCACATCAAAACTTTTGGTATGTTTGTGATCAGAAATGAAAGTTGCATTTATTGGTGTTCATTTTAGATGCCTTTATTGAAGAATAATAATAGACTATTGAAGTAAATGGCCATTAACAACAAAAAATGTTGCAATATTACATAACACTGTTCACACAAATATGGGTGTAACTTTATAAAACTTGAACACAGAGCCAAAGTAAAAGAAGCAAAAATGTTGATATACATTTTAGGATTACATCTAGGGTGGCTGTAGCTTCTTTGAAGCCCATTCTTTTGAAATACACCAAAATAATAAAATGTATCAGAACCCACATTCGGCATGCATGAAAAGTGTAAACACAGCTAGATTTAGATCTAGATTTCTATATATACACACTTTGTTATACAATAAATCAAAGGCTTACATTTATAGTTTTGTATCAATATACCTAAATATGAAAACTGTGTCTTTATGCACATTTTCAAAGTAATTTTGAGTAATTATTTGAAGTTTCCGGGTGTAAGATGAGGTGTACAATAACCACTTATAAAAAAGTCACATTCACATAGAATAGGCCTACATATTACGATGAACTAACCTGAATAGAGCCTCAACAAGATCCAACATCTAGATCTAGATCTAGATTTATAATATCCAAATGGAATGAAAACTTTGTCTCAGTATAATCCAAACAAGAAAACTGTCACTATAATTTTTTCAGGAGCAATCTCCAGCCATGATAGTCTCCCTAACCAACACAAACATATTATACACAAAAAAACCAGCTGTTTGGAAACAAGCCATCAAATCTAGCATACGCGCCCTCACAAACGCTACAGAATGAAAGAACAAACAGAAAAAGACCTATTTTTGGCATTTGCGACCATAATTTCTGTTGATGTCGTGAAATATTAGTTTCGCGTGTATTTAATGAAGGCTAGTGTAGCGAGCCGGTGTCAACGGCTTGCCGGCATCAACGGCTTGCTGGCCAAACCCACTTTGCACCGAGCCGCTCCCACCGGCTCACCGGACATGGAGAGTAAATGGTCTGATCAGACTCAATTCTAATTAGATTTTAAAAACATGTCTGTTAACTTAATTTAAATTGTCAAATCTAGTTTTCCTTGCAGTCATTAAGCAAAGCTTTTCATAAGTCACAACAGAGCTTACCTTTAAATGTCATCATTAAAAAATGTCAGAACCACTGTCTAGATAGAAATGATACACATTAATTGCTTTTGTGATATTCACTGTGTGAAGATGTGGAAGTTTCTCATTCTGACGACTTTTTGAGCAACAAATTTTAGACGTTTCTTCTTTTCATTGTCAGTTCCATCATCCCCTCGGCTTGGACAAAACTCTGAGACCTACAGTCAGATTATCATCGCTAGCAATGATGATGCTAATGGGCGGCTAGATCTATCAGTGTCATCATTGACAGTTGAAGAATCAGATCCCACGCCTGATATCAATATTGTCAGATCAGGAGGAACATTTGGAGAAGTAAGAAACTCCACCTTTTTTGTTTCCAGTGCCAAGTTTTTCTGGTACCAATTATAGTAAAACATAATAGCATGTCCTAAACATTGCTGTTTGCAGTACTGATCAAGTATTTTCTTTATGTATCCTGGAAAGTAAGTTAAACGCCAGAATCAAGTTTTTAGTAATTGTGATGGTAATGATGATGACAAAGTTGGTTAATGATGAAAGTATGATGATAGAAAATGCTGCTACCATTCTTTGAAATTGAGATTAACGTTTTTTTGTCTTATTCTCATGAAAGGAAAGGCTTACTGTTAAAAAAGTATTTTTGTCCCCTGTCCTGATTTGGTGCTGGATATTTGTAAGTTATGTAAAGAATGTGTTAATGTGGTAGTCATATGAGCAAAAATTGAATATTAGCATAACTGTTTAGGTGAAGGTAGAGATCACCATAGAGTTGGCTTTGAGCTAGATGAAATTAAGTGAGGTCTTGATGAATACATTTTGGCAATTTTGTAGTGTATGTCTTGTCATGTATCTATGTTGATTTTCCTCTATATAGGTATCTGTGGGCTTCAGTGTCATTGATGGCACAGCGCGTTTAAACTTGGATTACGTGATCCTATCTTCATTTGTCACCTTGGCGCCAGGGGAAGTGAAAAAGAGGCTGCCTTTGGAGATCATAGATGATAGAGTACCAGAGCTATCAGAGACATTTTCTGTAATACTGACTTCCAGAGTAACTGGGGGCGCCTTGCTTGGAGACAGATTCAGGACCGATGTCACCATATTGCCATCTGATGACCCCAATGGTGTTTTCAGTAAGCACAGTAGCTATTTGTGTAGTCTTGTGACTGGGTTTCAGAACAATTGCTTCAGTTTTGTTTATGTGTTTGATTGTAAAAAAATCTCCTTGAAGGGATGAATAAAGTTGTCTTTTCATTTTCGTGGTCAATAGTATTCTCTGTGAATTTGTGGGATTTGTGTCTACAAATAAAGGATGAGGTGATTTCCTAGGGACAGTAATCTTGATCAGCTACTACTAGTTTGTATTTTTACTGTTAACTTGGTGCAAACCGATAGAAAAGACATTGGAACATCTCTAAGATTTTAACATTTGTTTTATTTATTTAAAGTAAGTGTTTCAAAGATCTGTAAAATGAAAAGATCTAATTAAAAAAAGATTCACTTTTGTCACCATGTATTACATTACATTGATAACATTTTCTGAAGTGAAGGTTGATGAATTAACAGAAATTTTTTTTGTTCCCAGATTTTGTTTCAGAGGGCATGACTGTAGAGGAAGGGAACCAAGCAGTGAAAGTGGAAATTACTGTTATAAGAACTGGTGGCTCCATTGATGTTGTTGCTGTTGGCTGGGAAGCTTTTCTCAATGGTAACATTTTTCTTCACTATTTCGATTGTCCTTACTGAACTGAAAACAAACTTTTTGTTACTATAATGCTGTTGATAAGAGGGAATATGTTTTTTGCTTCTGCTGCGTCAACAGTGAGTATCTGAAAAAATCACATCAACAGCCTTCAAGGCTTTTGAAGAATAAGACTGCACCGATCATTCTGGTACTATGCACAAAGCGAATAATTTTGTAAGGCAAACTTAGGTTTTGAGACTGGTTGAAACTGTTTGTGTTTGAAAAATGATATTTGTAGTGTTCTATTAGCCATTGTAATTTTCTTTTCCTTTATTTTATTTTAAGCGTTTTAAAGCCTTAAAAACTTGCTGACTGAAATAGGCAGAATATGTGTTGATAAATCATCAAAGTTGAGTCAGAAACATTTGTTGTGTGAAATGTTTTTATTAATAACATATTCTTCCATTTTTTTACTTATTAAATTGTAAACAAAGTATTGTAGTCTCCGTTATTCAAGTAATCTGCAGACGTGCAAAGTTCTAAAAAAATGGTTGTTTGTATTGTTATTTATGTGTGCCCATTAGATAGCTAATCATTTGACAGTGTGTGTTGGTAACCTCATTGGTCTCTCTGATTGTCCATTTGTCCCTTAACATCAGGCAAAATTTTAGTTGAGTGTTTTTAAATTTCAGGTCAAGAGCCAAGTGATGATATTTCCCCAACTTCTGGCTCTCTGTTCTTTGTCACTAATGATGGAAGCTTGAAAATATCACTGAATGTCTTGCCTGATGATGTACCAGAGGGCACTGAGGTAGGTTGAAGCGACGACATAGTGTGAGAGTGTGAGACATGGATGAAAAGACCTCACACTTACAGTACTGTCTGCGACTTTAGTTGCCAAGCCATAGTATGTGCTCACTACTGCTGGGGACTTAAGTCGCCGATGCAACCACATACACTTAACATAATTAAACAACGAATGGATGCACTGCACTGAAGTAAATACCAAAGGAAGTCACTCTATATGATAGCTGAATGGTTGATGAACCTCTATAAATTTTTTAAAGCGTGTTTCTTGGGCTTCCAAGGTTTTTTTAATGTAAAAAATTCTACCTTGGCTTCAGCATTCTAAACTGGTGTGGTACTTGAGGGTTTTTCACTATATGAGCCTTCGGTAGTATAAGTGTTAAAGGCCTTCTTGGAGCTAGAGCCAGTGCAAAAGGAGTAGCCTGTACTGAAAACTTGTTGATATGTTTTTAGTAATGTTTGTATTGTATTTTAATGTTTATTTGTTAAAAATAAAGAGATGCACATTACCGCTGGGATGGTAAAGCAATCTTTAAAAAAACTTCAGTGATTATAACAATTGGTAGAATGATAAAGCTGGACCATATTAGCATTAGCAAAGTCCTGATCTAGCCATCATGCAGCTTATGAGCTTTAACAAGACACTTGGTGAAAAACAAAACAATGGATAATCTTCAATAACCCTCATGTGAAACAAAATCTTCTATCCCTGCTGGGCTTGACCGACCCTGGGATTCTTCTGAGGTGTTCATCTGCCATTGACGTGACTGGATTTTACCTCTGTTATTTCTTGATTATTTTAACAGGTCGTTAGCCTCTTGTTGAATATTTCAGAGGGCAAAGAGTAAAAACTCAATGAAGTTGAATCAGTACCGACAAATTCACGTAAAATATCCAGTAATCAATTTGTTATGTTACGACTTACTTGAGTCTTGGAGTAGTAGATCTAGATGGTAGTTGATGTTGGTGGGGCCCCACCTGCTGGTCGTCTGCTAGTTCTTTGTTAGCCGATGTTACTCGTTTCGGCTTCAGTGAGTAAGTGACCTTCAGATTTCCCGCCGCTTGCACAAAATCACATTAGGTCTCAGTCACGTGATATGTCCCCTAGGCCTATGTCACAATAATTATTATTAAGGTGTGTTCACGCTGCATGTCCTTCTATTCTTAAGGTGCGCTTACACCACACAATTTCACTCAAGGAGACAGGAACATCGCTAATTGATAATATGAATTATTATAGATATTTTGCTCTTGACTTAGAATTAACACCTACGATGAATCCAGGTATGTTTTTATTTTACACTAACAAACTTTAATGCACAAATTCCTTGAAATCATTGTGGTTTTCTTTTGTTTTTCATCTATTGGTCTGTTACTTTCTCTAAATGTGCAATGGAATTGACTTCACTCTGTTTGTTTGCAGACACAAATTTTCCAGGAATTCACCCACCATGTGCATTTCCTTAACCTTTGTTTTCAGTGTATGCTTATCATCAACTCATGTGTTCTTTCCTTGGTTCTTAGAACATTGAGATCCGACTTGTCAATGCAAGCAATGGAGGCCGAATTGGGGACAAAAGTACTTTTGTGCTCACCATCCCCCCAAATGACAGTCCTCATGGCTCCGTTGAACTCTCCTCGGCCGTGTTCTCTGTCCAAGAGGATCCAGCACAAGGACCGCAGTCTGTTCAGATTGTCAGAAGGTAAATCTCGAAAGGAGATGCTTATTGCTTGTTGTGAATAAAGATGTTGAGATCATATAAATCTTATTAATTCAAAGTGAAAGTTTTGATCAGATAGGAGTCATATAAATCTACTAAACTTTTGGGAATTTCCTTATATGGCTGTTTTATTATTAGCGGCCCAAGTTTCATTCTGTTTCGTCCTCAGCCAGCTCGAACTTTTCTCTGCCATTTTTGAAATTTGGGTTGCACAGGAATTAAAAAAAAATCTCTTTTCAACCTCTTGGATTTATCCTTTTAGAGATGCTAGTAAATTCGGAGGAAGTATAATGCAGATTGAATAAGGTGAATTTTGACTAGCTAGAAAATGACCGACATTGTTTTACTGTCCAGTGTATCAAACATGATAAAAAAAGCCAGCAAAGAAATTGTCACATCAGCATTATGTGGATGGAGTGAAGAAAGATGGTGATCACATTTTGGAAGCCAGTGGGGCAGGCAGTAGTAGAAAGAGACTAAAATGAACCACAAATAGCAAAACTTAAAACTGAAGTTAGATAACAAGAATTCAGAAAGCATTCTACCTTAAACTTGTAATTCTGTTTCAGTGGGGGTGTTTTTGGCCAGATCAAAGTATTCTACTCAACGTCTGCTATGACAATTGTAGACATGGTGGAAAGGAACGGTGGGGACAATCTGGACATGTTCCTGGCCCCTGTGGAAGGAGTCGCGCCAGAGCAAGGGACACAGGTGGATGTCAGCAGATCTAATGATACTTTGGAAGTAAGTAGGAAACTATCAAGTTTAACACTTTGCCACCTCATCTCGCCGATCGGCAATCTCTACCACCCACTTTCTTTGGATTTTCCCCAAATTATCTTTACCTTTGATTGCAAGAGTTTTTACTATATGAGCCTTGAGGTGGCAAAGTGTTAATTGATAAGAAAAAATTGTGATTGATCATATGTGTGGTGTTGATGTAGAGCGCAAAGTTATTTTTTTGACTTGTTAACATAGATACAATTTTACGTTTCTTGTTTTCTTTCTTCCAAGTTAGGCTGTTCATTAAATTGATGTCTAAGAAGTAATACTGCATGATGTTAGGGTGTAATACTATTAGCGGAGGGGGGCTACACCCTGAAGTCCCAATTGCTGTAAAAATTTTGGATTTTGATATGTAGGCATTTTTGGCTTGTTCAGCCTCTCTTACAATTATTCCATTGCATAAGAACCCCTAAAGCCTTATTTTTTCACCTACCTCACGAAAAAAAAATCATTAAAAGTTTTCTTATCCATTTAGGAAAAATTTATCTGTCAAAATTGTAGATCTTTTGTCTGCTAGTAGGCATGCAAAATGACAAGGCGTAGGCGTATTCATTTAATAAAACATGTCAACAAAATCCAATATGGCCACCGTCTCCATTGCAGATTTTTAGACTCCTCATTATGCTTGTTATATGTGTGAAATTTGGTAAAATTAGATCCACTAATAGGCGAGATAACCTTCAGTTGTAGGTCCTCTCCCCTCCCCCCCCTCCAAAGTGACCATAATGTTTTATTCTTAAATGGACTAACAAATACAGCACTGGATATGAAGATATTTTCTTTAAACAGAATGCTGTGTACAAAATTATTGTACCCGTTTATTTTTAAACTGTTTCAGCTTAACCCTCCAAGCACTATAACTAACTTGGTAGGTGAGCCCAGTGTAAATGAAAACTGCTGTGGGCTGCTTATTACTTAATTTTTCAGTTGACTTTAGCAGTATAAGGATGATATTACAGACTTACTGCTTTTAACACGAACTTTATAATCTCATGAAACCTTTGCTTTTTTTGTTGTTGCTGTGAAAAGTCTTTGAGCCCATACTAGTGCAGCCACAGACCCATTGAATGCTCAGTATGAACCTTGCTTTTTTGACACTTTGTGAATACTTTATTTTGTTTGTCTGATCACAGTATTATTTTAAATGTGAGGTGTGCTGACAAAATGAGTTACTTCTTTCGGATTTTAGCCATATGGAAATTGATACATCAACCTAATGGGTGGAGTTTGTACAATTTGAAAGTGTGGAATAATAAAAGACACGGTAGACTTGAACAAAATGGCATCAACTAAAAATCCTATAAATCTGACCCCAGTGTTGCTTTTCAGCCGACATCTCCATTCTTGGATCGCGAGAAGTAACTCATTTTGTCAGCACGCCTCACAAATGGATCTTATGCATGGATAGATCTAAATTTTGAGGTTTTTTTGTCTTCAGAGTTGTTCTGCAGCATGCATTATGACTTCACAGTGCAGTAGTTTTCAACACCAGAGGACTGAGACTGGAATTATATGCTCATGGTTTTCCACAACATTTGCCGCCTCGTCTCTATTGGCTGGAGCAAATTCAAGCTATTATGAAAAAGAAATGGATAAAGTAAGTCTTTACTGTTGTTTCTTGCATTGAAAGTTTCACAAATGAAACTAATTAGAAATGATATCATAATTGTTTGTGTGTGATTACATTCAGCTTTGCTTCTTTGCTTACAGTAGTTCCTTTTCAGAAACTGTTTATACTTTGCTGCTTATACGAATAATAATTTGCTTTATTTTGTATAGATCAAGGAACTTGAAATGGTGCAAGCCAGACCTGGAGAAGACTTTGATGTCGTCACTCAAAACTCAGTCCTGATGGAGGACGGTCAATCTACGAGAAGCATCCCTGTCCCTGTCATCAACGACGCTTTGCCAGAACTTGACGAACGTTTCTTCCTGAGGCTCACAAGGATTGAGGTTAATGACCAGGACCTGACCTCTAGTGATGCACCGACCTTGGGTGAGCAGACGGAATCCATTGTTGTAATCAGTACCAACGACAACGCTTTTGGTGCCTTCCGAGTGTTCAGCCCATCAGCTGGTGAAGGAGTGCGCCGGGTGGAGGTCCAAGAGACGGACAGACTTGCTGTGGATCTGATAATTGAGCGGCAAGGTCAGTCAAATGCTTAGCTTTTGTAACTGGTGAATTAATCATTTTGTTGTCAGTTGTAATGCACTGGGTTGTATTTTTTTTTTGCTGCTTTTGTTTTGTTGCTATAAAATGAAAATTTTTAGTTCGTAAAGATTTTGATTACATAAGAATATCTAAGTGAAATGATTATGTAATTTTGAAATATTAAGAAGTAATATATGATAGTTGAGTCGATGGGTCAAAAGGATCAGTTGAGAATTTATTATTTCCAAGCCCTCAACTCGTTATTCTTTGGCGAAATTATTTGAATTTGATATAATTATATTTTTGTTTATGGGGCTGAAAAACATGATCTTGAGTTGCCAATCTTTGACAATGATATATTTCTCTGCAGGTGGAAGCATTGGATTAGTGTCTGTGGAGTGGGGAGTCAGCCTGTCAGGGAGAACTGCCACATATGGTCAAGACTACATTGCAGATGGAGCCACACTGATATTTGACATTGAGCAGACCAGAAAAGGTATATATTTTTGTCATAATGGCCATTCTCTATTGAGAGGAAGATACGATTTATGTAGTCTAACTATTTTCGTTCTCTTTTTTCATTTTTATTCTTCTGAACAGAGCCCAGACTGAACCGTGTAATGCTGTTTCGAAGAACTTCCTATCAGGAAATGTATACTCCTTCTTAAATAACTAAGAATTAATGCTAACCTCTTATTGCCATGTTTTAAAGTCCTCTCTTGACTGATAACAACAATAGCATCAAAGTCCTCTGAGATTGCCTGACATTATTGATTTGGCTTTGATTTATTGTGAAAATAATCCTGATGAAGGCTCATTGAACATTTAGAAATAATTTGTATGATCTTTGAAAAAATTTAGAGTCATATTCTTAAAATTACTCTTTTTATTTCGTTCAGGGCTCAAATTTGTAAAAGAGATGAAAATTAAAACAATTCTTGCTTAGTGGCTTTAGAATCTGCAGTGTTCCTTGTCACGGATGTAGAATTTGATTTCTTCAAAATGGCATTGAAAAGGGAATATACTGAAATTGCACCATTACTACCTGCTGAGTGATGAGCATAACATCTTTTTATTAGAAATTTTTAAAAACCTATCTGATCTATAAAAGTCCCATTGTGATCAAAGTTCTTACTCCTTTAAGAACTGTAGAAAACAAAAAGGTTTGAGATCTGAGAAAAAATCTCCTGGCAGAAGCCACAACTTCATTCTGCGTGTTATATGGCGTTTGCTCCAGCAACCAAGGGTGCAGATTTTTAAAAAAGTGTAGTCTGGTGCAAGGTGTACTATTTTTTTTTTTTAAATTCTTGTCACTGTATCAGTCCGTTTCTTTCTTTCATTTTTGTTTTTTTTTAGCAATAAATAATCCGCTGTCGGCTTGTTAGGTCGAAAAAATATTTCTCAGAACTCTTGAATGCCACTCATAAGCTAACAAACAAAGAATTCCAACCAAGTCACCCAGAGGAAGAAGAACCAACCATCCTACCATCGGATGAGAGACAAGCAGTTAAAACCAACCCAAAAAACAGAAACGCAGGAATAGATGAGCTCACCACGAGGACCTAGCATGTGGTGAAACTGGAATAACTTGGCTCATAAAAATCTTCTAGAAAGCATGGACAGAAAGAAAAGTTCCCGGGGACTGGCAAAAGGCGGTCATAGTACCGATCTGGAAGAAGAAAGGCAGTAAGAGAGACTGGAATGTATAGAGGCATTCTACTGCTAAGCCATTTGGGGAAGATGTTCGCCAAGATATTGGAATGGCGAACAAAACACAAAGTTGAACTATTTCTGAATGAGGCCCAAATGGGATTTAGAAAGACAAGATGATGCACCGACACAATTTTTGCCCTACGACAAATGTGTGAAAGGGTAATAGAACTCAACAGGGAACTAAATATAGTGTTTATCAACCAGGAGAAAGCGTTTGACAGAGAGAACAGAAACAAACTGTGGAAAGAACTCGCAAACTACACTGTAAAAGGGAAAATTCTAGATAACATCCGTGCCATTTACGAGAACAGCATAAATACAGTAAGAACGTCAAAGGGACTCACAGAATAGTTCGAGATAATATCCGGAGTAAGACAAGGTTGTGTCCTATCACCACTACTATTTATGATATATATGGATAGAATTACAAAAGAGGCCAACACAGAACCAGACGCCCTAAATGAATTACTCTTCACTGACGACCAAAGCCTGGCTCACAAAGATGAACGAAGTCTCCAACACCACACCACCAGATTAAACGAAGAATGTAACAACTACGACATGAAGATCAACATCTACAAAACAGAGACAATGAAAGTAAGCAGAAAGCCAGGACCACTCAGGATACACATCAACAACAACAGTCTCAGACAGGTCCAAGAATTTAAGTACCTCGGAAGTATATTCACTGAGGATGGGCGACTGAATAGAGAAATTGAAACACAAGTACATAAGGCCAATAATGTTAGTTACCGGCTTACTCCACTACTGGAACATCCTAACATCCCCATGACAACAAAACTCAAAATGATTAACTCCATACTCATCCCAACACTCACCTATCAATGCCGAACATGGACCATGAACAAGACATTAGAGCAAAGAATTACAACATAGCAATGGTGCGTATTTTGTAACTCTTTTCTGTGATGGGTTACTCAAGGGTTTTGTCAACAAATTTTCATCACGCTTTCGTTTCACTTTATGAAAAGTACAGCTGAACCTTCTCTAACGGCCACTTCAATCTTCCTCCTTTGTGTACATTTTACGTTATAATAACTCTGTGTAAGACGGTCACCTATTTAAGACAGCCACTTCTTTCCTTGATAATGAGTAGCTGTCTTACACAGTTTTGACTATAATGATTCCTGCTCATGTCTTCACTCACAGTGATCACGCTGACCATTTTGGACGACAACATTCCGGAGGATGATGAGGAACTGACCGTGGTTCTGAGTAGCCCTCGAGGTGGGGCAACACTGAGTACGGAGAACACCATCACCGTGGTCATCCTAGCCAACGATATTGTGGCGGGACAGCTTTCCTTTGAGCCCACATCTGTCTTAGCAAATGAAGGTCTGTTATATGTATTCTTTGCGAGTTTTAAAGGTGAAGCTACACTTCTTTCATTATGTATAAAAAGACACTAATGTGAAAGTTCAGGTAAATGCATTGGAACTTAATGCTGCATTGTCTTTTGACCATTTATTGATGACTGCCTTCATGATAATGATTACTCTTGAATATCCTCTTTCAATTAAATGAAAAGAAGGTATTTACTGAAGGGCCTTATGAAGCACAAGTTTTTTCATGGATGAGGAAAAAGTTTCTCCCAACATCAGTACCACACTAGGGCATGGATTCTACCAAGGTTGTTTGTTTGTTTGGTGATTTTTAAATTATCAAAACTTTGAATGTCTCGAATGTGGTTCATCTAAGGTGCAAATTGACTTCTTTTGTATAATAATAATAAATAGCACTTGTATAGCGCATATCCCGGCTCGACAGCAAGTCATTGGAGTCATGGAATGAAGCTCTGAAATATATATATATATATTTTTTTTTATTGTTGTTTTTGTTGTTATCCAACAAGCAACTTCTGAGCTCTGGCCTAGTATCATGCTGACATTCACAGTTGTGGAGCAGCTTTGATATTCTATATGAGGGTATAGGGGAGAGCCTAATTTTATAGATGAGGGGATAATCAGATGAATGGTGTCTAACAGTCTCCTCTCAGTGTCAGCACAGGTAGACAGCTGACTCATTTTCATGCCAGTTCAAGGGAAGTGTTGAATCTTCAGATGGAAGATAATAGCTTGTTCTCTTCTACGTAACTGATTCATGGAGTTCATTTTGGTGCTGTAATGTGTTGTAATAGATTTTTTCCTATCATTCCATATGACCATCTTCAGGCTTGATGGCTCTTATAATTGCAGAATTTGTAACAACCCAGAACCATTCTCTGTTTGTTTTAAACTCAAGTTCAGCATGCTTATCTCTTTATGTGAAAACTAAGATGTGATTAAAAAATTATTTGTGTTGCCTGCCTCTGTGTGTTAAAGTATTCGCAACACCATTGTTTATTATCTCATCAAGAAGAGGGCATGCCAAAATTAGCTTCTTGTTCTTCTCTGAAATATACTTTTGGCTTCTAGAAATATACAATTTCGGTTGGAATCACCTTTGGTATTTGTCCTTTTCCCCCAGGGGATTCTGCGGAGTTGAAGGTTAAAAGATCCAGTCCAGCACACGGCACAGTAACAGCTGATTGGTTTATTGAGGGCAAGAATGGTCTCAACCCTGCTCAGGGATTTCAGACTATTTCTGGATCTCTGACCTATTTGCCCGTAAGTAAACAAACATTTCAGTTTGAAATTATGCAGCAATGATGCAAGAGCTATTTAGCCGTGTCTGGGTTTTTTTTTGTTTTCTGGAACATTCAGTGGTTTTGAAATTTCAGTAAAGTTACCAAATCTTTTGTGAATTCATGAGCTACATACAAAGTATTTTGGCGTTAGTTCTTTGAGGAAATGTTTGGTGTAAAAACAATCTGTGAACTGTTTTAGTTTAATTTTGTTTATGTTTTTGAGTTTGTGATAATTATTCCTAAACTATAGGCTTATTTTGACAAAACTGTTCTCTGAGAATGATATTTCAACTTGACGTTGATTGGTATTATACAGCATACCACATTGACAGCTAGTTTATAAATTTTGTCCTGTTATGAAAATGGCAAGAACTATGATCTCAGAAATATTTTTACCTATTGTGCTTGTATAAGTATTTAACTTTGAGCTTATCTCTTGATGTACATATTGGAAAAGCTCTGTTGATTTCAAGTGCTTTTCTTTATACAGGGGGAAACTGAGAAAACTGTGCAATTAGTTACACTCTCTGATGACACTCCTGAGGTTGATGAAGAGTACACAATCACCTTGAGGAATATTCAGACACAAGGTACTGTATAGTGTTCTTTTTGGCTGTACCATTGCAAAAGAACTAAATATATTAATGGCTGAGCGCAAGAAGTAATCCTCTTTTCACAGTTTCGTGAAAAACGAGTTCGAAATTTTGATGAAACAGTAAAAAAAAAAGAAATGTTACCATCTTGCTACTGTTAAACATCTTACTACCCATATTGATTACTCCATTTTGACCAAAAGTAGGTATAGTCACTTCTTGCGCTCAGCCATCGATATAATTGTTATGTGCTGTTATGGCACATTTGGACATCATGTATGAAGGTGATTTAGAAAATATGAATTCAGCAGACTGTTGTATCTCTCTAAACCCTGTTTGTTGTTAAATGTATATCTTTTGATAAAAGGTATCGGGCCCAAAACATTCTATGTTGATATGAATAATTGTAATGGAAAGTAGCCTTCTAGTTATCTATTTCAATTCAAGCCTGAGAGTAGTTTAATTCGAACAGAAGAGACTGCAGTGCAAGAGATGGGAATTATGCTCCTTTCTATTTGTTTTGTATGATAAATCATTACGCTCGTAAGATAACTGCCTAAGTCATTTTTGTCCAGCTTGGAGTTTTTGGTTCTGAAATGAAGAGCAGAGCCAGCTTGGTAATATAGTTCACTTGGACAAAATATAAAATCAATTGAGTGGACCAAAATTCAAGCATTTCTCAGAGTCAATTGTTCAAAAGAAACCGTTTTTTTTCTCATTTTCTCAAAATGGCTAAAATGACTTCGGCATTTACCTTATGAGCATGACAAAATATATTGTGTAAATTTGGCGGTAAGCAGAAGGGTAGACTGAATATATTAACTCATTTACAGTTTTATAAATGATATATTAACTCTTTGAACCCCATCAGACGCTGGGAGCGTCCAGTACTAGATACCTAGCGACAACTGTTTCGTTTTATTTAGTGCTAGATTTTGCTTGTTTTTCGGAACTATTCCCAAACCAAGTTTTTTAGTAATATGCTTTTGTGGTTATAATGAGACATAGTGCACTAGATTTAGGTGACTGCAGAAAAAAAAAGTCCGGGAAACGATGGAAAAAACTCAGGGCTTAAAGATTTAATGCATCTTTTATATGTACGGCAATAATCATTTGTTTTTGAAAATCTTGCTGTTAACAGGCAAGTTGTTTTTCTCTTCCCATGTAACTGATACTGTTTATCTGATGAAGGTTGTTGCTCATGGTGAACAATTAATTGACAAGACTGGGTTTCTTTCAGGTGTTGGGCCCACTGGTGCAGCTGAGCTGGATCCATCATTTGGCACCGTGCTACTTACCATTGCTGGCAGCAATAACCCTCATGGCATCTTTCAGCTGTCATTGACGTCTCCCCAGATTAAAATTCAAGAGAGTGACATTGAACCCAGTATCCAGGTTGACCGCAAATTTGGAGCCATAGGTAAATTATATGGGTTTGTTCAGCTTCTGATCACAAGTTGAGGAGCATTTAAAGATGGAAAGTGTATGGGTACATTCTAGTACATTCTGAATTTAAGTTTTGGTGCTTATCTCCTCCCCTTCCCCCTTTTACCCTTTTATTTTAAAACTATTTTTGCAAGGGATTCCTCTTTGAGGTGCACTAATTCTGAATCTCAATATTTTACATCTATAACATCAAGGAACCCCTGAGACTATCCATCATCTGTAATATTTCAATATATAGTATGAGGTTGTTTTTTTTTAGGGGGGGGGGGAGGAGTCGTTCAGTCCCTAACGAATGAAAGGAAGTATATTTTGAAGTTTTGTTGTAACCATTGGTTCTGCGCGTGTGTCTGAAAGTGGTAATGTAACATTGATGCAAGCCAAGGTATTTGCTAGCCGTTATGCTCAAATACGAGCGTAGGTTATGTGAAGAGCAGAAAATATGGAAATGTACGTTGCATCTATACCTAAGATTTATGGCTATATACTATTTTTAGAAAGATAACAATATATTATATAATTTTCAGAATAATCTATCTGTATGTATTTGTAATTTCTATTTTCTCACAGGTGTTGTGCGTGTGTATTATGAAGTTGTTCAAGGTGCTCTGAAGCCCTTTGGCACACAGCGTAGTCCAGCCAATGCAGGGCAAGATTTTGTGGCTGTCAATCCAGGCTTTATTGATGTCCAAGACGGTGAAGCTTCCGGAACAATTGTATTCACTGTCATAGATGATGTCATTCCGGAGATTGATGAGGTGATTTTGTCTCTTTTTTGTTCCCCCCCCCCCCCGGAAAAAAAAAGCCAATGAGGGAGGAAGGGCAAATATATAAATTTGCATATCTATGAGAAAAATTTTTTATTATTGGAGTCAGTGGATATCATTAAGAATCATTCAGCTGTATGTTTTTGGCCTTCTGGTATGGTTATGTGAGATTTGAAGTTATGGGTTGCTTTCCATTGCATCATTCTTTGTATTTTGTCATGAAGCACTTTGTGTTGTGTCTTTCGGATCAGAGAAACAATTTTTTGGTTTTAAGTTTTTATTTAATAGCTAGGATCAGTATTGAATACTTTGTTAGTCCGTTTTCATGAATATTGTTGAAAAAACTCAGTCCCACGACGGTAATTTCTAAATCACTGGTTTTAATAACTAGGCTACAATTTTTTTAGGTTCTATTATTCATGTACAAAATGCTGATATAGATATGTTGTTATTCTTGGACAACAGTTTGTCAAGTCAAATTATCAATGGTCATTTTCACTCTCATCCTCTGACCAACAGATATGAGAATGAATGAATAGCTGAGCCAACATTACTGTCAGTGGATATAACAAGAGATTTTGTCTTTTCTCAGGTGTTTGTTCTGCGTTTGACCCGAGTAGAGCTTATTGACTCAACAAACAATGAATCCCCTCCTGCTCTTGCTACAAATGGAACGGAAACAGAAATCATCATTGGTGCTAATGATGGAGCTCAGGGCATCATACAGTTTGCACCAGATTCACGAAAGTAAGCAGAATTTAACTAGCTTTGTTGACTCTTGACAGTTCTGCCATTACTGATTTCTGTATTTTTGTGACTGACAATGTGACCATGTCTGGTCCTAACTTACATTATGATGAAATCATTGGGACCTCTCACAGTTAGTATTTACCTGCAGAACTTTCGAATAAAAAGTTGTCTTCAACATGCACTTTGTATTAAATATTTAGATACTACTCGATCACTGTGTGTTAACATATATGCCAATTTTTGGTTGGCTGTAGTCCTGAGACTGATGAATATATGTTGATTTACTCACCTATTTTTGAAAATGAATAATTATATTGTGAAGATGAATGTTGCAACAGGTAAATTTTTCTTTGGGTTCTCTTACCTATTTGTGTCTGTCCTTGTATCATCAATTGAACAAATAATTAATGAACTCCCTAGTGGCATGAATGAACTAACCTTATCACTTTTTTTTATCATACAGTGTTACAGTTAGTGAACAAGGACAAAACATATCTCTGACAGTACTGAGGGGAGGAGGCACTTTTGGCCAAGTGTCTGTTTTCTACTACAGTCAAGCAATAACTGAAACGACTGTACAGTCAGCTGACTTCGAAATGATGGCTTCTGTAAGAATAATTTAATTGAACTTAAGAAAATGATGTGAAACTATAATTTTGTACATTGGTTTTTTTACAAGTCCAAATCTGGAAACAATTTTTTCTACATGCTTCGAAAGTAACTGAAAGCTCTTTGAATATGAGAGGTTTAGTGCGACCATTTAGTTTTAGCAAGGAAACTTGGAAGCATTGAGACAAACCCCTCTACTAATGTGAAATAATTTCCTTATGCGTTTGTTTTTTTGCATGGTTTTTGTGTTTTGACTGAATTGCTGCTGCTTTGCTCATCTCTTGAATATATGTCTACCTTTAGTTGTTTTGTTTTAAGTTGTTTTATTTAAATGCTCCACTATACTGAAACAGATCTTTTCAAAGATGGGTCTCCTAGAGTTTATCAAAATTCCTTTCAAGTGTATGATATGGTATCAAATACTTTTTAAAAAACTTGGTTATGGTAGCTGAACTGTGTCAGAGAGAACACTTAAATATCTGTGGTTTCATATTCTTCCACAATCGTTTCCTTCAGGAACTGGAGTTTGCAGAGGGAGAATCACGAAAAAGCATTGTGATCACGATCATTGATGACACTGAACCAGAACCGGATGAAGTGTTTGAGGTGATTCTTGCAAGTCCGAAGAATGGAGCTGTTCTAGGAGATAAAGTCAGGGGTAAGTCGGAACAGAATACTTGAGCAGTCTTTTTAAGATTTGTTTGAGGTAGTATAACAACAAATAGTTATAAAGTAGAATTACCTCTCTGTTCTAAGTAAGTTATGTTTGCATCTTTGTTTAAAAAATTCCTGTATGCTGTCTGCTTGATACTCATTGTATAAATAGGTATGTTGGCTACTATTTTTTTCAACTTCATGTGTGATATTTTGGATAAAGCGACTCACAGATTCAGTTATTCTCCTACAGCTTTCTTTGTAATACTATGATTCCGGGAATAATAATTATCTTTTGATGAGATTCATGGCATATGTATTGTACCAAATAAAATTCTGTAACTTTTAAGTAAAGGTTTGGCTTAGGTCACCCTTCTTCAAGTAAGTTAAAATCATCTTTCATGTACAGTGTCATGGCTACATCTAAGTTGGATCCACAGAGAGTGAAGACCCAGAATATGTGTAGTAGAATGAGTAAGTTCCAAATGGAGACTTCAAGTAGACTGGTAACACATTCGTTGTGAATTCATTTTTGTGATATGAATATCTAAATAAATGAAACATTATTGTAGGTATATGTTACATACCTTGCAATGTGCCTAATTATCTATTCATTTTGTTTTTAAAAAGTGTTCAATAAGATTTACAAAATTTTGTCACTCTCACTTTGTTTCCAGCTTCTGTTACAATACTGGAAAATGATGTTTCTGGAGGCGTGATTTCTTTTGACACAGTTGATACCATTGAACTTTCTGAGCTTTCAGATGGCAATCCTTCCAACTCAAAGGTGAGTATGCTCTCATGTGTGTGTATCATGAATGACTTTTCCTCTTCACAAGTCACCAAAATAGTCCTTTCTTTTGGCTCTTTCTTTTGTTTGTTGACAAGTTCTTTTAATGAAGTCGTTTCTGTTTTTAAATTAATAAGATGAATATTTGGAATAATTTTCTTTAGTCAGAACACAACGTTTTATGTTACTCATGTTGTATGTTGTACTGTGCTGTTAAGTGCTCAGAGCCTGTGTACTTTATTCGGGGTTGAGCGCTATATAAATGTCATTTATTATTAATACACTGCCCTCTCTGACTAGGAGTTTGAGAACTCCTTTTAATTTATTACTGCAAAGTCAAACCACCTTTTCAACAATGAATAATGGTGTAAATTTTATGTTACAGGAATAATATGGCCTTTGTGTTTACATTTTTATGTCGTTTTATGTGATAATAGAAAAATATTGTATTCTTTTGATCCTTTTTACCTCATTCTGCATGACAAAGGGGCACTTTTTATTTTATTTTATAGTAGTTAGTTTTCTGATGATGGCTTATGATCTTTTATGTTTCTACCATAGGCTGAAATTTTGATAACCCGTGGACCAGGGTCGTTCGGAGAAGTCAATGTGGCTTTTACAGTCACAACTCCACTGGGCCAAGTTTCTCAAGATGTGTCACCATCTGTTGGGACCGTGACATTAACAGACAGACAAGTAAGATTTCTGCATTTATTTCCTAGCCTAAAGTATTATACTGATTGGGTTATTTCTGTAATCTCTTTTGTGAATTAAAAAAATCTCAACTTATTATAATTTAGTCATCATTTTTCTCTATTTTTGTTTTTTATTCGAGACCTCCTAGTTCGGTCTCAAAGTGTAATAAGGACTGCTATTATTTAGGAAAGTTGTGAAGTACCATAGATTTGTGACAGACAAAACTGACTCCTAAATGGATGTTTTGTTATGCTATTTATCTTTTTTTGGAGCAAATCTTTAAGCTTTGAAAACCAAAAACAATCTGGCTATTGTATCTCTATAGTAAATCGATGCTGGAATATTTTTCATTCAAATCTTTTTCCCAAAAAAAAGGAGAGAAATGGGCCACTAATTGCCACAATACAGTGGATCAATGTTTCTGATTGTACTGTTCTGATGTGTTGTTTCAGACAAGTGCTGTCCTCACGCTGGAGGCTGTGGATGACGATGAGCCAGAGACAGAGGAGGACTTCACCCTCAGCCTGCAGTCAGTGACAGGGACTGCTGTGCTGGGACAGATCACATCCAGGGCAGTGAAGGTAGCCGCCAGCGATGCCCCCTATGGTCTGCTGGAAATGTTTACAACTGATGGCAGGTGAGGTGTCAGTATTTTCAGGACGTGTGACTGTTTTGCTTTTTTTTTTCATGAAAACCAAGATTTGTCATTTGCTTCAGAATGATTCAAAGCTCACCAGAATAACATTGGTTGCGGTCCATCTGTATACTGTTATTAGAAATACCTTGCAAATACCTGTCATTGTAAAGTAGCTTTTTTCTTATGCATTTCCCTGCAAGACTTCAAGTATGCTTGAGTTTATTGTAGATTGTTCAACCCAAACCCCTCCTGTTTGTTTGTATGTGTCCTTTATTAAAACTTGAACACCATTTCTGCTGCCTTCAGTAATACCCAGGAAAAGAGACGGGAAGTCTCAGAACGGAATTGAGAAAAAAATTCCCTTGTTTCAAATACTCCAATGAAGATGAGGTGTCACTCTTTTTCTAAGAATGTTTTTTGATTAAGGATAGTTTCAGTCTTCTATTTGAAGTAATAGAACAGAAATTCTTTGCTGACAGTTATTAGTTATCCGTTCTTTACTCTTCAGAGCATCTAGTGTCTCTGTGGAGGAAACCTTTGACTGGCTGAAGTTTGATGTGGTGAGGACGCAGGGAGTGCGTGGCCGGACAACGGTAGATGTTGTCACACTGCCCGGCTCTGCCACCACAGGAATTGACCCGTCACGGGTTGTGTTGGCTCCAATGGCTGAAGCTGAAGGTGTCATGACGACCTGCTGGCATCAGATCAATGTGGAGGACAATGTCTACTTGGTTATGCTGACTTCTCTGCCATCTGACACCCAGCTGGCTGCGCTTTTACCCACAAGTGCTTCTGTAGGGCCAGGGCAGTCGGTGCTGTACAGATGGCAGGGGCAGCTGGCCTATGTGAAGGTGAGTGCCTTGTGTAGAAATAAAGACTCTTTGCCTGTCTAGTCTTTAGTGACACAACTCTGCTCAAAATCAAGATGATACTTAATTAGGTTATAGTTTTGAGGCACTAGTTTTCATTAAATGACACAGTGTGTCATAAAAGAGTACAGTTATGAAACAAAATTGATTATCCGGCATGGCCAAAACTATGGTTTTCCTCATGATGTACATGGAATTGTTTTGTGTTTCTCATTCTTTACTCATGTCCCTAGCAGTCTTTCTGCTGAAGGTTGTTGGATTCTCTGCACGCTGTTGGTGATGCAACTCTTATCATTGTACTTTAAAAATCACATAAATGTCTGTGTTCAAATGTACAGAGATAATTCTGTTCTTGCATCATCTCCCCTTTCCTTGCTTCTTTCATTCAATTACCACTGCGTATTGTGTTCTTTTTCAACCGCCATTTATGGGTCTTGCAGACTTTTAAATTCTCTCAAAAACAAAACGGTAATGACTTCAATTATTAGCAATAAGCGTGAGGTGTAAGGCAAAGTGGAGTGTTTAACATTATATTATAAAGCACTTCAGTATCTGACAGTGTAGTGTTTTGACTTTCTGTTTGTTAAAATTTTGGAGTTTTTTGCTTTGTTGTTGTTTTTATTTCTATCACATTACTATTTCCATCAGTGTGAGTGATTTGATTACTATGAATAACAAAATTTTGTTTTCCTTCCTTCTCAAGAGTTTCAATACTGATGGTGCCACTGCAGCTACCTCGTTTGACATTGGAGACAGCACATACCTTGTGGTGGCTAACAGTGGCCGGGAGGGAAAGAGACAAGTTTCATCTTTAGTTTACAGAATTTCTCCTGAAGGGGACATGGAACAGGTATATTATGTTTCTACTAGGTAAAAATGCTGTAAGCCTTCAATTTTATTCAAACTATCAGTGCAACATACCCATAGAATTGTGACATTAAGAATTTCCAAAACTTGTGCAAGACCAAAGGCAGGAAAATTATTTTTGACCAAGAAACACTTACTTTCTTTCAAATGATTCAGCTGAACATAACGCAAGCACTAAACATCATCAAAGCATTGAGAAGGCGCAATTTCAAAAAAAATATTGTAGAAACTGTTTGCCTGAAAATTAAAAAAAAAATTACGTTCAATGTTCTTTATTTTTGTTTTTGAAGTACTCTGGAATCTGGCTTGAAGTTACTTGAAGTCTTAATAATAATAATATATGACATTTACATAGTGCTCAACCCTGATTAAAAAATTCAGGCTATGAGCGTTTTACAAATACGGTATCAACACATGAATAGTACACAGGGTTCTGACTAAAACTCTAGATCTCTGTAACTATAAATCTTGTACTACATGAATAATTGTAAACTTTGACCATTGACCCTAAACTACAACCTTTTTGCAATTTTCATATCTTTTTAGAAAGTGTCTTCTTATGTAATTTTCATTCAGTAATAAGTTATTATTTGTCTCAATCTCAGGTCCAAGGCCTTCCTACCAGTGGTGCCACAGATGTAGAGTATTTCAACCATGGTTCTGCACACTTCCTGTTTGTCACCAACTCAATGGATGACCAGTCCCGGTCGGCCATCGCCAGCCATCTTTACGAGTGGGATTCAGCTCTTGCTCGGTTCACTTCTGCTCCGAAGCAGTTGGTGCCCACTCTGTATGCCCAAAGTGTGACCAGTTTCAAAACGGATGGATTCACTTTTGTTGCTGTTGCAAACTACAGGGATATGAGCACTGGCTCCTATGAGATAAGGTGAAGAGCAAAGTAATGATAGATCTATGCTCTGTGTGTAATGCTTGGACATTTAGTGTGCATCTTGTACTGTCATGGGATCTATGTGTCACAATGTGGTGGAATCAGGCACTTATCAATATTTTAGCATATGGAGTTATTGGTAAAGTTATTGAGAAAAAGATGCTTCCCAGTATCTGCTCAATATTATTATCTTAGAAAATCTTACATGTAGTGCATTGGACTAAAACTTATTTTTCCAAATTTTGTTTGATTAAAAGTTGCAGCTATATTGTATATGAAACAGAGCTTCACAGTTCTCATTGTTTGCTCAATATTTCCACGTGTTGTTTCATTTATCATTAAAATCCAGTAATTTTCCTATCTCTCTTTCAACTGCTTAATGTAAGGCTCCATCATGTGCCATTTTTCAAAATGGCGTATTGCAGAGTCTTACATAAAGCAGTTGATTTGTGTTATGTTATATGCAAGCAGAATTTTATGCTTCCCAAGATAAACTGACTCGTGATAACATTTGCTCCCCCCCCCCCCCCCACCAACCCTCTCTCCCCCTCCCCCCCCCCCCCACCAGCTCTGTGGTGTACCAGATGGAGTCGGACTTCTCCCTTGTCCAGCACCAGCAGCTGAGCACACAAGGCGCCATCAGCATCACTCATGCAGCCGGACAGGGCAGCCATCTTTTAGTGGTGGCCTGTAACCAGCAAAATGAGGTCTCAACACCACAGGATTCTGCTGTTTACAGGTATTAATTTATTTCTCCCCTTAGCCAAAGCAAAGTAATTTTTGCAAACCAGTTGGATGTTGTTGATTTTAAGTCTACTGTGAGTTACCATGATATGGATAAATGCCACGTTTTTACGGAAAGGACAGATTAAAAGGAGGAAAGAAGCACTATCTACAAAAGTAACGAGCAGACTGCCCCAGAATGATCGCCAGTCACCTGATTCTTACCAACTATGATGAGTTGTTTGAGAATATAACTTATAGCAATGTTTTAAATACCACTATCTTCGTCATGGAAAAGAAATGCTAAATGTATAGAATTGAATCTAAAGCAATCATCAAGATCCTATGAAATTAATCTCTACTAGACCAGAAGTTAGCAGCTTACAGCCCCAAATCCTGCTGATGAAGAGATTTCTCACTTGCCTTCTTTGGTTAACTGCAAAATGTAACCAGATGTATGACCAATGGATATGATATTGGGTCGTTTGGCTGACTATCTATTTTCTATAATGTGAAATGTTTCTATCCCTGAACTCAACAAAATTAATAAGATAAACAAAAAGGAGGGAGCCACTTTTATTACTGTGAGTTTGAAATTAGAGTAGTTTGCATGTTGTGTGGAAATGAAGTCTGGAGGCTGTGGAACCTTTTATTTGTATCGTTAATGACACTGATACTGTTATCATCATCCTCATCACTATCATCTTCCTCATCACCATCACCACCACCATCATCATCATCATCATCATCATCATCATCATCATCATCATCATCATCATCATCATCATCATCATCATCATCAGAGCTTCAGACGACCAACAACATACAGAGGAGTCTTTCCAATGATCAAGAGGGAAATCAGAGACCCACCATGTAGAACTAAGTACCAGCACCTGGAAGATGTGTATTCTGGATACACCTATAAGCAGGAACAAAAGTCTATCACATCTCGCTGGGACCAGGTTGAGCTAGCGAGACTGCGGTCGGATCATCATTGGAGTTTTAAGATGGTATAAGAACTTTGTAAATGAAGAGCTCAGCCCATGTTGCCGAAGATGCGGCCATGAAAAGGAAGATGTCAAACATATGTTTGAATGTCCAGGAACAATGGCAATTCGAATGGAGTTATTTGGACGAGTGGAGGTGCCGCTAAGCATATTGACAATGGAGCCGAAAAAGAACCTCGCTCTTGCTCGAAGATTTCTTCGTGGAGTCTGTCAGGCCCATTAAGGAAAAAAAAAAATCATCATCATCATCATCATCATCATCATCATCATCATCATCATCATCATCATTATCATCATCAACATCAGAGCTTCATCAGCAGGAACAAAGTATCACATGTTGCTGGGACGAGGTTGAGCTAGCGAGACTGCAGTCGGACCATCATTGGAGCTTGAGATGGTATAAGAACTTTGTAAATGAAGAGCTCAGCCCACGTTGCCGAAGATGCAGCCATGAAAAGGAGGATGTCAAACATATGTTTGAATGTCCTGGAACAATGGCAATTTGAATGGAGTTATTTGGACGAGTGGAGGTGCCTCTAAGTATATTGACAACGGAGCCGAAAAAGGGCCTCGCTCTCGCTTGAAGATTTCTTTGTGGAGTCCACCAGGCCCATTAAGGAAACCCAAAAAAAATATCATCATTATCACGGCAGAAAAAGCAAAGTAGGGAGGGAGAGTCTGAAGTAATTTTAATCAGCATATATAAATTAATTTTTTTAAAACTAAAAAAGCTCATTGTTTCACCCTGAAAGCATCTTCAGGAGCATCATCACCATGAGTGTTATCTCACAAAGTTTGAACACTAGAAATGTGGGTGATGCAGTCATTTATTACTGTAACACATCATCATCATCATCATCATCAATATCATATATGTATGTATTTATTTATTCAGGTGGGACTCCCTTTCAAGAGCTTTTGTCTTGCACCAGTCAATAGCAACAAGCAGAGCACAGAAAGTTACATCTTTGACCACCAATGCTGGTTCAGGTAAATGCCAAGGAAGTGTGAACAATTGTCAACATTCTGTGAGTGAATTTGATAGTCTCAACCTATCGCCACTTGAATGGAAAGGCATGTTTGGCTGTTTGACATATTTGGTTGGGTGCTGTCTTTGTGAATAAATTTCATGCAAAACGTTACCCATTTTTATTTAGATGCTACAGTATCCATTAATATGATTTTGTTTGTTTTCTTCAAACTTTGATTAGAAGCTATTGACACGAAGGAATAATCGTTATTTACGGTACAACAACATGTACAAGTTTTCTGTTGTCGAGGCTTTTCACTTGAGTAGACTTTCTGAAGTTCATGTAATGTCACGGGAATTGTTTATGGTCGCAAGTATTGCTGTCAAAATATACATTTAAACTAGACAAAGAGAAAAAAGTTCCTACTACCCGAAGGCTAGAGAATAAAAAACCCACAGCTGTGATGCTGTCTTTATGTGTGTGTTTGAGCAAGGGAAATTATGTTTAGTGAGCTGGTATATGAGCAGAACGTGGGACTGTTCCTGTCTTTTAAGCTGCTGATCAAATCCAAAATTCTTTTACCCCAGTGCTAAAACAGATGGTGCCACACCGAATTGCTGCATTTTGTGTTTGCTCAAATAATTTGTTGTTATATTATTTTTAATTCCCAACTGAGCACAAAATTGTCTCTTCTTTTGCAGATTTTCTGATATTTGCTAATGCTGTTGGCAAGTCCGAAATGTTTGTGTGGGATATAGAAACCAGTCTGTTCAGATCTGCTTGGAAAGGAAGCCCATATTTGTCGCTTGACCCTCTGTCCATCCGCCAGCGAACAGACTCTCTCTACCTGATTGCTGCCTCCAGTAACGATGGACGAGAGACTCCAGTGATTTATCAGATTGCTCAAGTTTCAGAAAAAAGTGACTATGTGCCTCGGTATGCCCACTATCCTCTTTGTTTTATTACAAATTAATTCAGTTTTGTATGATTTCTGCAAGTGTGTTTTTTAAATTTAAACTGAGGACAATACCACTTCCAAATTGTTAGGTAAGGAGTTACAATTATGACTGAGGTAGAGTTTTATGTGACAATGAGATGAAAGTATACAGACAACAGAGTTGTGAATAGAATCAGGAGCATCTTGCTTGCTTCATTTATTTGACATCTCAGCCAAAAGAAGGGTTTGAATATAATTTTTCAAGTTTCTCATGTTTTATATAGGCCCTATTATGAAAAAAATTAGACATAAAAGTTGGGAATAAGATCTAAGATCAAAGAATTCTTTTATTACAGTTATACATTCCCAGATTTGAAGTCTTTCCCTGGATATATATAGTAATTTTTTTTCTAATTTCAGTCGAGTGACAATGATCTTTGAACCTGGTCAGACTTCTTTGCAAACTTCTGTGGTCATCTTGACCGATGAAGTACCAGAGGATACAGACAACTTTTCAGTGGCTCTGACTTCTCCGACTGGAGGTGCTGAATTGGGGGAGAGAACAACAGTCTCAGTGGATATACTGTCCAATGATGATGCTCATGGAGTCATAGAGTTTTCTCAGGTGAAATTTGGAATGAGTTGGTTTTTACCGTTGGTCTTTGTAAATTGTTCGTACTTTATTTATGACATAAACCACCAATACAATTATGAATATTGAAAGAAGATGCAGTCAAACCTGCTCTGTCCAAGACAATCACCTGTACCAACAACCACTTCCCACTCCCCGGTCATGCGATTTTTCGATATTATAATGACACTGTCCAAGATGTTCACCTGTCTAAGACAACCACTTTTTTTTCTAACAATAGATGGCTGTCTTGGACAATTTTGACTGTACTGACAAGTCTCTCTTTACGTTTTTTCCACAAGCAAAGACTGACTGCATGGCAAAAAACAAGCCTTTCACTATCACTTTGGTTATCTTCGTACCATGATAGATGTCCTCCTGTTAACTTACAGTTTCATGGTCCTTGTAGGCAGCCCCTGATACATCCTCTGCAGCATGCCTAATTTCCCTTTTGTCTATAGTTATGTTGAGTATTTTGTCGTGTGAACCTTGAATTTTACTGACTAAAAAGAGATAAAAACTTCATAGATGATTTGTTATGAATTGCTTTATCCATTGTAAGCAAGGCTTAGCAGTTTCCTTTGACAGAAACAGGTTGTATGGATACATATCATGTCCAAACAGAAGTACATCTGTCCAGATCTGACCAATACTAACTGCTGTAACTAAAGAATTACATCTTATTGTTTACAGGATTCCTTGTCTATGGCTGTTGAGGAAACAGATGATGCAGACAACACTGTACATTTGATTGTCATCCGAAGGCTGGGGTACTACGGTCGTGTGACAATTGCATGGCAGGCCACAGGGGATCATAGTGGAGTAGGAGACATTACCCCTTTGGCAGGACAGGTACCCCCTACTCTTCAAATAGGTTGCGATGAATGAAATTTGAGTAGCAAGTTGTGCTCAGCAGTTTCGTGATGTCAGGCAAAAACTCAGATTTTCTCAAAACTCTTGGGGTTTTTTTATTTCTCAATTTCAGTTGAGTATAACTTTGGTACCAAAGTAGTTAGACTAATACTGTATGCTCTCACTTGTAATACTTTCATATGTCTTTAAGATAGAGTCTAAACTAAAGGGGTAAAAAGAAACTAGCTTAAGCATACAAAAAGCTGAGAGCAAATCATTTGATTGGTTAACTGTGCGAATCTAGAGTCTTAAGAAAGAAAGGCAAAATAGGCAGTTCTGAAACAATGGAAGTTCTGAACAGACTCTAGGATAAACAGACTATCCAATTTGCGCAGTCAACACATGAAATAGAAAACATAATTATTTATGAAGTAACACAACATAATGAGTCACATCCCATTTTCCAATGTACCACTGTGTAAATCAAATTAAGATTCTTCTTTGATTGACTTGTTGAAGTGAGGAAGCTAGATAAGGAACATTGTTGACCAAAACTTGCTTTCTGACCCTTTGTCTGACTTCCCGTTGAACAATTTGTTCATGTACAAATTTTTCTCTTTGAAAAAAAGGTTTTGTTTTTAAAAAATATAGAACTCGGCTTGATTTTTGCTAACCCAGATGTATCTCTGCTTTGTGTGCAGGCTATTGTTTTAAATTCATAACTGTGTTTCCTTTAATGCTTTGTGCATTGCTGTGCAGGTTGAGTTTGGAAATGGTCAGACTGTAGCTACGATCAGCCTGACCATCAGAGACGATCAAGAAGCAGAGTTTGCAGAAGTGACTTATGTGAGGTTGACAGAGGTTGTGGAATCTGGCACTGATTTGGATGCTCGGGGTGCTAAACTGGGTAAAGCTCTTGAGATATTGATTGGTATCGAGGAAGTATACATGTTCTGGAATTGTTTTTTTTGTTTTGTTTTTAAGAAAATGTTCAGAGTTTCTCTGCTTTTAGTATAATTTATGTTTGTATCCTAACACAATACTTTTAGATGGAATTTTTCTCTGTAAAATGAGATTCTTACTGTATTCATTGGAACCCTCTATGTTGACCAATCCCTGGCAACACTTTAGGAAACAAGTTTTTATTTCTCCGATTTTTTTTTCTGCCCTTTCCTCCATATGGCAACCACCTGTGTTATGCAGTTGCTACCACTTTCAATCTAACCCCATTTATTATTAAAGCAGACGAGTTTACCTTGCATACCCGGAATGCCAATATTTGAACAAGGTCACTGATTTGACATTTTCAGTTTGCTAGTAATAAGCCACATGCTCTGATAACTCCACTTTAAAAAAAAAGAACATATTTGCACAAAAAAATTCCACATTAACAGTAAAGTCCTTTGTAATGGGCCAGTTGCATTTTCAAGCCTACAGCCAAATGTGCACAATCTCGACTAGTTATTTGTGGTTCAAAAGGACCATTGTTTTGTTTTTTTTACAGATCCTACAAATTAGAATGCTCTTTTATTAGACAAACACCCTTTTATGGAAACAGGCATTGGCCATTTTATGAAAGAAAGGAGGTTACTTTGCTTGAGTTTTTCTGCATTAATCTGACCTTGTTGTATCTATCTACCATTTCATCACTGTTGTACAAATATATTTTCATTCACTGTGCTGTGTCAAGAGTTCTACTTGCACGATTAAATACTTTAAAGGACTGCAGTTTAAATGATGCTATTGAGAGTGTTTTTATGCGCTAGGATAATGATATACATTTTTTTATATCTTGAAGTTTTCATTCAAATTTGTCCCTCTTTTAACATCCACTTTGCTCGTAATTCCTATATTCTTCTGAGTTTAAATTGAAAAAAGTTTTTATTTGTTAGACTCAAAACTCTTATGTGTGTTCTGGGTTTTTTTTTCAGGTGATAATACTTTAGCAGTGGTCACTGTCCTGGCTAATGACTCTCCACATGGGGTGGTAGCATGGGAGACAACCGGTGTCACAGTTTTGGAGCCAGACGGAACAGATCAGTCTGTACAGTTGATAGTGACTCGCAAACAAGGCTTGGAGCGGAGCATTCGGATCTACTATGTGTTAGTGCTCTAGAGTACTTTGTGATTTGTTATTGCTTTTTTTGTTTTCCAAACTAAAGATCAATAGCAGAAAATTACAAGTTTTGTATGCTTTTGGTGAATATGGGATGGTCTTTGTAACATCATTATTATGAATGCTGAACAGATCACCTTTTAACCAAACTCTGTATTTAAAAAAATAATGAAATAAGAATATGGTCTTTGATACAGCTATAGAGAATCTTATAAATCAAAGCTAGGAATCAAATGTCGAGTTTGAACCTTTGGAGTGTGTGATCAATTCTCAAACATCATTGTGTACCTGAAAGAATATTCTATTTTACTGAGAGAGAAGAGAACCTGAATGAGTGACAATGTCTGCATGCCCCACTTTTGAATGCAGAAAATATACAGCTGTCAAAAGCAATGGAAGCCTAAACTAATCTTCCATAAATTGTGTGTTTGTGTCCTTCTTAGAAAGGATAAATTCAAGCAAAAGAACTGTGAAAACTCGCATGATCAAAGTTCCTGAATGCACACATTGTGACAATCAAGGTGTGAAGAGTAGGTAAATTTTTTTAATCTGGTAGAATACAGGGCAAACATATTGTTAAAGTATTTCCATGGAGTCTATTAGGTTGATGCTCTTCCCAGGCGGAGGTTTTCCCTGTGAAAATGGTTTTTCTTCTCTTTTCTTTCTCCCCAAAAGCTCTGATACTCTTCCTCTTTCGAGGGGGGGGTCAGTTGTGGAGGGATTGTTTAACTCATTCGCTACGTATTATTTTCGGCTTGTGGACGAATTTTTATTTGGGAGGGCGAATGAGATGGTGACTATTGGGCAGTTAAAAGGTCTTTGGGGCCACAAATTCAAATAAATATCAACGTATTATAAATCAATATTTTCAGTATGGTTTGTAGAATACATCTGTAATGTTTATTTATGTATTTTTCAACTTTGGTTCATGTAAGAGGCGATTATGCAACGCAATTTTGATTGGATGCTGTTAAAATTTGAAAATAAAAAAATGTATAATCTTTGGTGAAACTCACAAAATATTTTTTCACCTAGTCAAATGATACATCAAAATAACCATAAATGAATATAGAACTGGAAAATATTGAAAAGTTTGCAGTTATTTACATACATTCCATAATATTTGTACATTTGGATCATAACATCCGATATTGAAAAAAATTTTTTTTTATTATCTTGAAAAACAATCACAAACAGAAAAAAACACACTCGTATCTTTTTCTGGAATTATTCAGAATTGCATTTGGAATAAACCTATACATGTCTTGAGTGGCACTTTTTGTGTAATTTCATCAAAAAGTAGTGATTTGGGGGAGAAAATTATATTTTTACAATTAAGATCTAGACCTAGATCTGGCACTCAAAAATATTGATTTCTTAATAACATTGCATTGACAACATGAGTCCAATCATATCAATATTATAAAAAAGAGTCCTACACTTCTTTAGTGGGCAAAATAATGTTAGATTTTGTTGCGTAAAATTACTAAGACTGGTGTCTGGGCTATAATTTTGGCATCGCAATAAAACGAAGTCGAATAAACTACGAAATCGCGTTTCAAAACTGAATCTAAACTTCCGATATTAAGTGGAAATGCTTGACCCGGAAGTCAACATTATATTATGACCTTTATTTTAACATGGATATACGGCTCGGTGTAGCAAATGAGTTAACTCAGGTTCAGAGAGAATGTCAAGGAAGGTGAAGGAAATATCTTTTAGGTAGGTGGTTTAAAAAAATGTGTTCTAGAGTAGCACATTTTAACATGTATAAAAAAACAGGGGCTGTCAAAAGTGTGTGTCACTGTTTGAGATTGTTTTGACTATTTTGTTATGTTCTGTTTATTGTGATGCAAGACATTGTAAACAAATCTCTTTGAAGTGAGCAAAGAAATTGCTTTGTTTTTTTGTTCTTTTCTTTTAAATGTTGTTTATTTCACAGCTTGCTACTTTTTAATATTAAGTCATTTGTTCGTCTTATTCTTTTTAGCACTTCAGTGTCCCCAAGACTGCCCGAATCTGAGCAAGCAATATCAGGAGAGGACTTTGTAGCCTCACAAGGTTCTGTGGTCATGGAGGAAGGAGTTTCAAAAACAGCTATTGTTGTGGTCATCAAACAGGTAAATGGCTCCATCCTCATCATCATCGTCATCATCATAATCATCATCATCATGGAAACACTGGTAATTTACTGGAAACAGTTAAATAATAATTTCCAGTTGCAAAATTTCTCAACATATCAGCAATGTTTCATCAGGAAAAAGCAACAAAACAGTAACTGATTTCATCATCATAATGTTGGTTGAAAAATGGATAGTTTATTAAAAAGTCATGAAAAATGGTAAAGTCTTTGATATTTATTCACAAATTGAACTTTGCCCTCTATAAATGGGCTGTTTGTGTTACGTTCATTGCTTGATTGGGAGTGCTCAGGTATATCATGAACAATTGTTTTCATCATCATCATTCTCATCAGCACCACTTTGTACCCACGACCACCACCATTTCATACTAGTCCTCACCATTATTTACAAGGATGACATCTTTCCTCACTTTTTATGAAATTCCTTTTGCTCCGCTGTTCTAACTACTATTTAAAAAGTGCTTGAAGTCCAATTTCTTTGTAACATATCATTCATTAAAGAATTCTCTATCTTTTACAGGACAGCATCCCTGAAGCAGCCGAGACATTCCTGGTCAACCTGACGTCAGTGACCCTTCTTGGCGCCGATGCTGGAGATGCCGGTCCAAGCATAGCTGTGGGAGAGGGCGTCATGGAAGTGACCATCACAGAGAATGATAACGCTAGAGGTGTTGTGGAGATGGATGTCAAAACGGTGGGTTATTAGAGAGAGATGTGTTTTTGGCAGTGGTGGGCACCTTTCTTGCTTTGGAGGCAGGATTTCAAGTTTGGGTTGATTGATTCTTTTTACTGGGAGAACAGTGGATGCTGATATAATATGCCTACATCCATGCTGATATAATATGCCTACATCCATGCTTACACTCTTGTTTATCCTAAATGTTGGAAGTAAATAAAACACTCATGCAAATGTAAATAAGGAATCATGTTTAGCATATTTAGTATTTTTGCCTGATTTCTCTCTTCAGCAAAAGTGAGTTTGTGTAGAAAAAGATTCTATACTATGAACACACGTAACTCCTTTATTTATTCTATCTCTTACCAGACCCCAAGTCATTGCATATCTTACATCTTACTCCCACTCACAAACATTAACACATAATCTACTGTCGTTTGATTTGCAATTTTTATTTGGGATTTAAATGCTATATACTTTGATTTGTTTTCAGAACATAGAGGGCCGCCTTGATGTGTACGAGGAATACAACAAGAACGTCACTATCACTTTGCCTTTGAAGAGACTCGTCGGTTTCTTTGGCTCTGTCACAGTGACATGGCAGGCAGATCCAGGGGAAGCAGATGCCCTTGACTACACCCCAGGGGGAGGTACCGTTAAATTTGATGACCAGCAGAAGACAGCAAATATTTCCATCACCATCCTTGACGATAGTTTGCCTGAGGATATGGAGGTAAAAATCCGTAGAATTTTGCTTTCTTAAATGTTTTAAAAATGATTAATATACGCAAATTCAAATCCATTTTAAAAAATCTGCCTCTCTTTTCTTTAAGGTGCCTGAGCTTGCCTTATGATATGGAGGTAAAATCAGAAGAATTTTTCTTGCTTACTTGTTTTTGAAATGATCAACAAATCCAGATGCATTGAAAAAAATATGTTTGTCTTTTTTGTAGGTGCCTGGTTTATTTTCATGAACATGTTCACCTTCTTCTCAAGTTTTGAATATGTGTGTTGACAGGAGTAAGAATCTTTTTTCTTTCAGACATTTGAGGTGAAGCTGATACAAGTGAGTGGAGATGCTGGCTTGGGCATTTCTCGCAGTGTGCGGATAGCTATATTGAAAAATGACTCCCCGTCTGGTCTCTTCAGATTTGCTACCTCAGAGGTCAGTATTTGTTCCCTGTCGTAATCTATTTTTATCATCAACTACTTCATGGTTTGTTTACTGAGGCTTGTATGTATACTATTTGAAATAGGTGAATGGAGTGGACAATGGCATTTGAATAGTTTTATGGCTTGTTTGATGAAGCATGCAAGAATCTTAGATTGTCTATATTGCAAATTTTGATCATACTGACTTATACATTCTCTGAAAAGTGTAATGGAATTAAAGAATATACGGTCTATTCTTTGTAAACAACAAAAGATCGTTTTTTATTCATGTATGACTGTTTTTTGTACTCAAAACGATTTGTCTCATAAAATACTTTCTTATATTTGTTATCCTTTACTTGATCTGAAACTCTCTTGAATCACCCAGTTCTTTTTTTATCATCCCACATTCTCCAGGTGGAAACAAAAGAGTCGTTGACGACCTCAGATGAGCAAGGTCAAGCTATATTAGTTGTCCAACGTATCCAAGGTACTCAGGGACTGGTCAATGTAAAGTGGAGACTTAGTGCGGATGGAGCTTCAGACTTCATGCCACCACTAGAGGGAGAGGTGGCCTTTATCCAGGTGAAAATATGGCAGATTGGGCACTGCTTTCAGTTAGAGTTGATGCCTTTAGTATGTTCAGTTACGTTAGTGAAAGTCATTTGTTTATCCCATCCATTCTCCAAAAATAAAAATTGTTACACACAACCCTTTCTTTGGACCTACTTATGGCCACCATCTTGTGTCATTTTGAACTCCTGATGCCTGCCTTTTGGAACGGCTAACTGGATAAAACTTGTAGTCATTGTTTTAAAATTGTAAATATAAATGTATATTGTACTGTGCTGACATGTTCTAGTTGACTGAGATCTACTATCCTCCTTTTGCCACATATCTATCCAACAGTTAGTTGCCAAAAGTTAGATATGTAGGAGTAAAAGAGTACCAAGGAGAATGTCCCTGCTGTCTTTGTTGATGTTAGTTAAGGCAAAAAAAGTCAGAGCTTGCCCAAGTTTGCGTATCATGAAGTGGAACCGTTGACACACAATCCATTCTGGGACCTGATAAATTTTGCTACAGGTTTGAATCACCAGCTTGGGCAAATGTCTTATTCACACCAGAGTGGAAGGAAAAATATTTTAAATGTTTTTTCATGGGAGGCAGTATTAAACAGTAGGCCTACTTTCATTAATCAAAACCCACAACATTTTGATCAGGAACTCAGATTAGTCTCTCTGTAGCACCACTGCTGATGTAATAATAAAGGTATTGTGTTGTGTTCGTGCATAATCTCATGTTTACTCACTTTTGTGTATTTGTCCAGGGTGAGGTTGAGAAGACAATGGTCTTGCAGACTCGCCCAGACACTGTGCTGGAGGGAAGAAAAGAGTTTGTTGTGTCTTTAGTATCGGCCAGTAATAATGCGGACATTTCACCAACAGGTTTGATATCACATTTTTATACCTTTTCCTGTGCAGGTTGATTTTACTTTAATTCTGCTTTTGTTTCTGTCTAGGACAGAAAAGACATAACAGTGTGAAGATAAAAAAATCAGTCAGTTTTCTTGTCACTTTGAGTAATATTTTTGTTCCCATTTTTTTTATCATGTCCTAAGAATCTGTTAACGGGACAGTTATATAGCATTACGGTAACTATCAAATAAACAGTTGATTACTTGGATTATGTCTAATTCAAAAGTCTATTAACCATGTCATTGTCAGTAACGTTTCCGTTTTCTGAATTGTTAAGGAAGAAAGTGTCTTTATTTGGGTAATTCCTTTAAAAGAGAAATGGAACAACTCATGCAGTTTATTTGGATCATCAGGTACAGAATTCTCTAGTTATTTGGTCACAGAACTGTTCAAGATAATAGATTGTTGATTAAAGACTCCGAAGTGTTTTACTGCCTTCCCTGGAAATGAGGGGGTTTTTTTTTTTCTTTTACAAAACACTACCTCTCTATTCATAACCAGTCAAAGAAAATTTCTTTCCATTTTCAGATGGGGACTGCAAAGTGATCATCCTTCCAGACCCTGGTGCCAGTGGAAGAGTCTCTATTTTACCAGAATTCAGGACTGTATTTATTGGAGAACCAGGTGAATCGAGCCCAGGTTATGCTGGAGAAGCTGAAGTGAGACTCACAAGAGGGACAGGGATCTTTGGGGAAATTCTCGTCACTTGGGCCATCACTCCGCGGGATGTCTCTGCTTTCCTACAGGTGGAGGGTACTGTCAAGTTCTTGGACTTACAGCAGACAGCTTCCATTATTCTACAGGTACTCAAAGTCACTGTAGGCCAATTTATTGTTCCTACTTTGCAGCAGGTTGATATAGGGAGGGACGTGGGAGTTGGAGTTCCTTCATGTTAAAGGTTTTTATGTTTTAGATTATCCATGCAACTTAATACTGATGTGCAGTGGCCTGAATTTTTTTTTCTTGTGACATACTTTCTGAAGTTCTTTTTACTTCCTAGATTCTCTGTTATTGGTTGGGTTTCTTTTTTTTTCATTTTCAGATGTGTCTTTTTTGGATGATCTAGAGCTGCTGTAGACCATCATAATTCTGTTGAAAGAATGTTGAAAATAGCTTTGTCTGACTCCAGATGTGTTATTCTTTGCATGTTCTTTTCCCCCTGATAGAAGGTGCCAAGTCAAAATACTGTTTTGTCAGGACTGCATTTTATTGAAAGCAATAATTCTGCATTAATCATCTTGCAACAACAGTTGCAAAAAAATTGAGAAAGAAATTAAATGTTTAGTAGTTATCATCTTTTTGTGAATTCCACTGTGCAGAAATGTCCATAAATGTTGAGTAGACATGTGATAATTGATTTTATGACATGGGGTATTTGCCATGATTTACTGAAGGTTTGAATTCTGTTTTAGGAGATAATATATTCAACATCATGTTTTAACAGAAGTTTTGTGTATATTTTCCAAACTTAGACCAGAGATGACAACATTCCAGAGCTGCAGAAAAGCTTTACCCTCCAGATCAGTTCAGCGTCTGGTGGGGCGGTTGTGTCAAGTGTGTCCGGAGAGTACACAGCAAACATTGTGTTTGTTGCCAGTGACTACCCTCACGGCCTGGTTCAGTTCTCCCTACCTGAAATTGTCACAGTCACAGAAGATCAAGGACAGGTGAATACCATAAAAGTGCTGATCTATGCTGTTTGAGTTAGTCTATTTCCTCCTTAATACCAAGGGAATTTTTTTCTGGAGATTTTCAATCTGGAAACTGATGAATATACAGGAGAGATTGCCAATTTTGGAGAAAAATCTTGTGTAGTTTAGCCTTTAGTTTCATCAACTTGACAGGACTAAAATATCTGATGTGAGTTTGTTATCAGTATATTCTGAAAGATAATAAAATGTAACAAATCATTGTCTGATATTTTATGTATTCAAAAGAGCATTAAACACTTACACTTTAAATTCCTGATTTTTCCATTCTTTTCTATTTAATGAATTCTCAGAGGTCAGTGATTGTGTGTGGAATATTTCAGGTGCGTCTCACAGCCACGAGAGGCAAAGGGCTCCACGGGGAGCTGCGGGTGGCCTACACAACAACCGCTGACACAGCCAAGGCATACGAGGATTTCCTCCCCAGTGCTGGCACTCTGACATTCCTGCCCTCTGTCAGCTCTCAGACTATTGACGTCAGTCTAGTGCCTGACGATATTCCAGAAGGACCTGAAGACTTTTATGTCTACCTGACCTCTGTCGTGCTTGTGAATGATAAGTGAGTTGTGTAAAACATACTGAGCTTTAAGAATAGCTGATCAAGATAGGTGATTATTGCCATTCAGGTACAGTTTGTTTCTTTACTAGTAAATATGCGGATTGTGGTTTGTTTTTCTTTCCTTCAAGAAAGTTTTAGATTAAGGGATAAACAGTCTGACTGTATCAGAAATTACGCATTCTGCTCTTTTATGATAATTGTTTATGTCCCAAGTTGATGAGACTAAAATTTAAAGAAAAAAAGTACATCTTAGTCTTCTGGGTAAAAGATTTCATAAGTCATAAATAGTCAAAAGATAGTAGAATAGAATCTGCTTAGTGAGAAAGAGACAGTGAGAGGGAGAGCAACAGACAGACAGACAGACAGACAGACAGACAGACAGACAGACAGACAGACAGACAGACTGACATTTGTAATCATTACCTCACCCGTCCACAGCAACGACTACAGTATGGTGTCAGGGCTGAGCAGAGATATGGCTCCAGCCCTGGGGACTCTGGTTGTAAAAGTTGTACGCATCGACATAAACGACAATGCACAAGGAACCATTCAGTTTGAATCTGAAAATTTTGAAGGCAATTTCTTTGTTTATTACTTTCTTATATATTATAATAAATGCATGCCTAGTCTGTTATGGGATAGAAGGGTGCTTTTCAGTTTTGTCTTGTGCTGACAATGCTCACCGTCCTTTTGATTTTGGTTGAGGAAATCTTAGTTTAATTTTGTCAAGGATATTTCTGTCTTTATCACATTCATATTTGCTTATCCTTTTGGTATAAATGACTATTCTTTCTTCACAGAAACTGTCAGCAAACCATACGAGCAATGATTACTACGCAAAATAGAACCTCATTTGGACTGCTTAATGAAAATTGAGATGTATATTCCAGAGAACTTTAGTGAGCTCTAGTTAAACTTTGCATCAGTAATGAGCCTTTTTCCCCCCAGAATTTAAATGTCTTACTAAGTCAGAGCAGACAGCTCAATTTGGTGTGTCAAAATTATAATTTCTTGTTCTTAAATTTATCACTGTTAATTTGTTTAAGAATTCACCTTATTTTTTCTTCACAGTTTCAATGGTAACTTCTTTTTTTCTGAGGTAATGGGTGCTCCAGTACCACTATATTTATTATGGTTTACAAATCAAATTTACCTTTGTATCTATTTGTCACTTGACTGAGTCCTAAAAAAAAGGAATAGCTTAATTGAAAGAGGTCTCTGTTGCTAAGGGTAAGGTTAACATACATGAACTTATCTTGACCATCTTTAAAGAGAATTTACAATTATTTTGTCTGTACTGTTAACATCCTTAACTTGCTAGACTGAATTTTCAGGTTGCTAAAAGCTACAGATATAGTAAGTCATGGTGAATATGGTGGTACGTTAATGGCCAGTTCGTTTTGCTGCAATTTTTTTTATACACCTGTGTGGTCTATGTTAGTTAAGTCATTAAGTTTCTTGTCTTTTATATGCACAAGTCCGCAATGCTTTAAAAGAAATGAATTTTTTGTATGTGGAAGGTCTTTTGCTTTCCAGCTATAGTTTGATGAATAATGATGGAATTTCTTCCATTTACCGTAAAATAAAGTGAGGGTGTTTCTGAAGTTGTCATTGTCCAGACAGCTGAATTATTGTATAAAAGTTCCAATAACTTTATTTTCTCAATGTGCATTTATTTCATCAAGCATACTTATTCATATAACAATGAGAATTTAACAATGTTGGGAGCAATTTTGTTATGGGATTGCTCAGATTTGGTCATACATAGGGGAAAAGGTATTATGTGTTGATGATTTATTATGAGCCTTTCCTTTTTGGTAGTATTTTACCATGAAACATTTTATCTGCTTTTGGATTTATTTTTGTTTCTCAGTTTCTTGCTTTAGTCTTATTTAGACTTAAGACTTTTTAACTCAGGTGGCTGTTCTTTTTGTTGTTGTAGGTTGTTGTTTTTTTCAATTTATTTTGGTGGGTCTTCTCTTTGTACAAAATACCCGCCTTACTTTTGTATCAGTGTAGCTATATAGCTTGTTGCCTGATCTTACTTGGGAGTCTTGTGTCTCACAGTTCGAGAAGAGAGTGGTCTGGCCAGTATCCCTGTGGTGAGAGTTGGTGGCAGGTTTGGGAGGGTGACTGTGGAGTACGCCACTGAGATGCTGACCGCTACTGTTGATGTTGACTATCTGGAGGCCAGTGGAGATCTGATTCTGGACGATGGAGTGGACATGGTCAAAATCAATGTCACGCTCCGAGATGATACGGAGATGGAACCCAGTGAGACCTTCAAAGTTGTATTGACAGCTCCAACAGGTAATTGAAAGATACACAAACAGGTTTCAAGATTTAGTTCTAGCAGTTTAGGTAGTTTGTATTATTTTTTTTTCTTTTTGATGTCAAGTCCTCAATGGTTTATACAATTTGTGGATGTATGAGCCATGCTTTTGTAAGTCCAGATAAGATGGGGTGGATTTAGAAACTCAAAAAAAAAAAAAGATAAACTTTTGATAGTGAGCCAAAGATCTCTCTCACAGATTAAAGAAAAGCTGTGCATTGTTAAAAATAATAGACTGAATGGAGAAAAAGATGTATGTTCTTTTGCTAATTTTGAAAGAATCTGTTTGCTGAAAGATGATAAAACAATGTTAATTTTACAGAATGATATTTCTAAATTATTCTTTGAAAATGTGTATTTTGTCCAGGTGGTGCCTCTCTTGGAGATGCGTCCACATGCATGGTGACCATCCTGAAGTCTGATTTTCCTAATGGGAGATTTGCTTTCCGTGGAGACACAGAACTCTCCTTAGAAAACCCAGAGCAAGAACGCCGAGAGGCTCTGTTCATTGAGAGGACCGGGGGAGTTTTAGGCCAACAGCAGGTTAGAAAGACAGTTATCAGGATCAGTCACATGTACAAGTACGAGTACTTTTTAAGAGAAATGCACCAAAAAAAGTTAAGTGTTTTTCTGGAACAAATTGGAATTATCTGACAACCATGGCAAGGGTATAAATACTGGGTGGAGTTGGCAAAAATAATTATTTCAGGACAATTTTGAGATACATTCTTGAATATGATCAGGACACATGTTTGTGAGAAAGGCCACAGTCTTAAGACATTTTTTCTATCATTTGGAAATCACTGAAGATAAAAATTCTGTTTTGTGGATTTCTGGCCAAGAAAAAAATATTTCAAAGATGTGCATTTCCTTTTTTGTATTAAATAAAGAATGAGGGTAAAACCTTAACAGTTTTTGGTCCTACTTCACCAGTCTGAGAGCCATGGTCTGGGTAACAAATATAATGTTGATGACTGCATTCCAATTGCTGTTGGATTGTTAGTGTACTGAACATGTGCATATGATCATCAGGCAAGAGAAAGTTAAGCCATACTGATTGAAGTACATTTATTTATCACCTGCAAAATTACATCAAGCTAAACATGATCATAAATGGTCTCAATGTGATGCACATAGGAGAAGTGTAGGGAGAGAGAATTGTAATGCATTTTTTAAAAAGTTGTCAAAAGTCTGCATTAGTCTCAAATTAAGTTCCTTTTACATTTATTAAGAAAGTTAAAACAAAAAGGAAAAAACGTTAAATACTTAAAACACAGTCAAATATTTCACATATATATATGTAGTGAAAACAGCTCCTAGTTAGTGTCAAATAATTTTTTCTCCTTGATACTCTGTCTTAGCACTGAGGTTTCTTTTGTTGACAAATCAGTGGGAGTTAACAGTTAAAGGTTAATATGTTTGAAAAATTACGCTTTAATGAAGCGGTGAAACTGAATTGTGGCTTTCAATAAAGTGTTTCTTAGAAAATGGAAAACTACACCAATGTTCAAGGCTCAGTGAAAACGGTACTCCACAACGGGGTTTCCATGAAAACGAAGCCATAGTTCCTGTTCATGTTAACATGACAAATGAAAGCAGATTATCAGTGTATGTTTTAATGTAAACCATAAGACAAATATTTATGTGAATGTTTCCGTAAAAAATGAAAGCTTTATCTGAACATATACGTTTCTCTGAAAACTGTATTTCAATGTGTACGTGTGTGGCCAGGTGTTTTGGCGCATCATGGGTCCCAACAACCCAGACCTGCAGCTGGAAGACACGAGTGACATCAGCAGCACAAATGGTGACCGTCAGGTGACCTCAGGCTCCCTGATGTGGAGTAGCGGAGAGGCGGGGGAGAAGTCTCTGTCCCTGGACATCAAACCCTACACCACCTGGGAGGTGGAGAAATCTTTTGTTGTGGAGCTGTACAGAGTGACAGGCTCACCGGCTGGTATAGGGGATGGAGATGTGGATGAGGAAATGGGTCATGTTATAATCAAGGTGAGACATAGGACAAATTGAAGTGGTAGTTTTACTTTAATCTAGCTGCAACAGGTTAGATGTATGTAATGTAAGTAGGGAAATGGCATTTACAGGTTGGTAAGTTTCTTTTCCAGTAATCTGGTTTCTTTGTTCTACTGAAAATTTATCATCAAAAGATGTTCTTGGGCAGTGTTTTTATGGTTCAAAATTGACTTCAAAGCTGAGTTTCAAGGCTCTACCCAAAGTAATTTGAAATCTTGACTGATGCCATTATTGCAGTAACATAAATTCAAATCGTCAAAATTGTTAATACCTTTGATGCTGTTTACAGTGCAGAAGAGTGACTAACTTAATATATGTCATGAGATCCAGCACTGAAACTTACAAAAGTGTTAAGTTTGTAACAAGCCCTTTAAAATTCTCTGGCACTCATATTGTTCATTTAAGTCAAAGATAAGAAGAACGTCATTGCTATTTATTGTACTTTAATGCTAAAAACAAGCATGACTATAGCAAAAAATAGCAGAGTGTAGGAAAGACTCATACCTGCAACCTGTGTCCTCCTTTCAACCCTCAGGACAGTAATGAAAACATTCATTTACCCTTAGGTCCAGTTTTATTTAACGTTATCTTTATAAGGGTTGTACGTTCACTAGTTTCTGAAATATGGAGTCGGTGATATCTATAAAATTATAAATGTGATATTGTTTTCAAGAGTGTAAAAATGTTGAAAAAAATACCTTTAATATTTTCAGTTTTATCATAACTATCGTAAAGAGTTATCATGCAAATATCACAGAATCCAACAGTTTGTGAAAACTGCTTGACCTGATTGTAAACTACTTTCAAAAGTATGATGTTACTAAGTAATACTTTGGCATGGAAGATGAGCAGTTTTCTATTCCTACTTTATTACTTGCCTATAAATTGTCGTGATCAGATTCAACGATTTGGAGATCCAAATGGAATTATTGGATTCACTGGTGCAGCTGCTCAGAACAGACAAGTTGTGGAGCCAGACGGTGTTTCCTCTTTGACCCTGCTCTTCCCAATAGCTCGTCGTTCTGCCACAGGTGTCACGGGCAACATGCAGGTTAGTGATGCCTTACTTTGTTTTACTCAATGCATAAGTCAGTAGCTATACTTCCTTTGTTTGTCTTTAATTTGTAAAAATCCACCAAAAATTTAGATTTTTTAATTTTTAGATCTTTATTGCAAGTCACATTTTATCTTAGCACGATGTGGTCAGGTATGCTCAATGTCCCTGCTCTTTTGTCAATAGGGTACATGCCTTTAAAAAGTCATTTTTAACTTTAAAACAAAATTTTCTTGAGCAGATTTACTGGGAGGTGAGAGGTGCCAAGCTGGAGGACTCTGACATACAACCTCTGGAAGGTTCCATTATTCTAGCAGAAGGCAAGAGAGAAGGACAGATTAGCTTACAGATTTTGCCCGATGAGCTTCCTGAGTTGACTGAGACATACACTGTGGCCTTGGTCCGGATCGAGGGAGGAGCAAACATCGACAGCGAACACAACACTTCGACCTTCAGCATAAGGTAAAAATAATGAGATGGCAATGTGAGCAATATTCAGCATCCTCATTTTGACTTAATTATGTGCTCAGCCATAAGGTGGGAGGAGTATGCTTCTAATGAAATCATTTGTGAGGCATCGTGGTGAAATCAGGCGCTTGTGAAAATGATGAAATCGAAGAAACCGGAATTTTTCTGCTGGTGTGGCAAATTTTATCAAATTTTTGTTTTTGGGCTCAATATCTTTTATGTCCATTTAAAAACACATTTCTGTATGGATTTGAATGAAAAACGTTGATTAAAGGCACAAAAACTGTAAATTTCAAGTTCTCAAGGACTCTCAAGCTGTGGAAGCGACCTATCCTTAGCGATCTTTTTCTTACTAATTTTACCTCTAAAAGCAGGTAACCCCAATTACCTCCTTCAATCGCAAATATCCTTCTATTTAAGATAGAAGAGTATTTTTTTTTCATCCGCACCAAGGCAAATGACGAGGCTTTATGATGATACCAATAAATCCATATGCCTAAAAATTGACGGGCACCTGATTCCACGTAGTAACACATTTGGTGAACAAAGAAAAGAAATGGTTGAAAATATAAGCCTTCAAATTTTGAAAATGTCAAGAACAGTTATGTCGTGTTTGTTGATTTATTCAAACTTCATGGTTTGCCAGTCTGCTTTTGTAATTAAAAGTTGTTCATTGTAAATGATATTATTTAGCAATTGACAATGACATAGTTTTCACTCAGATATTATCTGGAATGTGTTTTAAAGTTGTTCCAATAATTTTTGTCTTTATGTCTTTTTCCCCTTATAAAAGATTCAACGACCATCCTCATGGTGAGTTTGGAATACTGCCACAGTTTCAGATGATTGAAGTGGATGCCTCGGATCTGTCTAGAAAAGTTAGACTGAACTTCACACGCTACTATGGAACCTTTGGAGATGTGATTCTCACCTTTACGATTTCATATGATGTTGTGAGTAAACTTATCATGTAGGCCCATTTGTTAATTAAAATTATGTTGTTCTGACTCGTGTGTATTTCATGTAGGCCTATAAGTATTGCATAGTCTCAAAATGTTTCTCACCAATATCACTGGACCACTAGAGGTGTCATCTCTGACTCAAAGACTGATGTGTAATGACCCTCCACTGTTCACGGTCGCCAGCAGCCGTGTTACATTTTGCCGTGCTCAGGCTAGCCCATAATTTGATATTGTCCATCCTCATTGTTCTTTGTCCACCCTTGGCCCACTTGCCCCACATCTTGCCTTTAAGCTCACCAAGATACTTTTCTGCACAAGTTTAATATGAAGTTTCTGAAGTTGTTCTCCTTTTGTATTTTTTTGGCTCAAATCTTGCATATTTTCAGATGTTGTTTAATTTACATCTTTCATGTACGTATAATGTTATTTTCAAGAGAAATTGATCTTAGTTCCTTTTATGTTTATTCTAGCAATTAATTAATTCAGACTCTCTATCAAGATATTGCAACATTCTCATTGACTTGATATCTTTGTCTTGCGTACAGAGTAGTTCTGGGGTTGCCTTGGAGCTGAACACAGGCACCTTGAGGTTTGCTGAAGGCCAGCGGGAGGGCATAACTCTTGTTGGCATCACAGGCAATGGTTTTCTAAGGCTGGGCTCCACCTTCACAGTGTACATCACAGAAGTACAGTATCTTGGGGCTGGAAGTGAGTGTCAGTGCAGAATTGCTGACCTGCAATGTATTTCACCTTTCTCTTAACCTATTCTTTAACCTCTAAAATAATAGGAGGTGCAGGTTTATAATCTGTATGAGGTACTTACTACCATTTGTGCGAGAAGGGGGGAAAAGGGGGGGGGGGGAATTACAGAGCTATTATTCTGAACTATCTGGGTACCCGTTCGATGAATGGACTCCAAAGAATCGATCGTCAAGTCATTGTGGCCTAACTACTGCTTGTTAACGGACGCCTCACTTGTTTACAATGGCGTCTTAGAAGACGGACTTTCCTAAGATTAGGTCTAAATGAACCTAATGAAAAACTGAAATTTAAACTACAGTGACTTCAGACTCCTTAATATAACTGTGCACCCTTTAAAAGGCTCTGAACCACTGTTATTTTTTTTTAAATTCGAAAGTTAATTGATTCGGAAGTTTTAGGCGACCAAAGTGACGAACTTTCACAAATATAATATGTATAGATATAGATGACTGAATAATAAGCTCCACACAATGGATTAAGCTGAACTGAGTTTCAAGAAAAGCAGTGTTCAAGACAAAGTGATACCAACCCGTCCTATCAGACCTATATTTTGAAGATGAATCTTTTCTTTTCACATTTCTCTTGTGGTAAGATTATTATTATTATCATTATTATTATTATTATTATTATTATTATTATTATTATTATTATTATTATAATATTATTATTGTTATGATGATGCTTTACAGTGGCAGAAGCACCAAGTATCAGAGCTGGAGAGTCCAAGGCTCAGGTGGAGGTCCCAGCTTTGGCAGCAAACACAGAGCTAAGCTTTGCCTCTGACATAGCTTTCGTGAAAGAAGGTGAATTTATAGGGTTGTTGGTGAACTTTTTTTTGTGTTCTGACCTTGAAATGGTGAACTGTTTTTCTGTTGCATTATTTTATGTCTTGGCACTTGTCTTGAACTCACTCTGTCATATGCTATGAATTTCTGCCCGTCTCTTTCCTTTTGATGTTCTGTATCTATTGCTGATGTTCTGTATCTATTGCACTCATCTTGTAGCTTGGCATAGATTAACTTTTTTGGCTTCATTTCTTTCTTGGGATTAAAGCACACTTTGAAGATTACCTCATTAAAATTTTTTATAGGGCCTTAATGTCCTTATGCATATAAACATCTTTATATAATATATGCGTATCGTGCATTTTACTTTTTGTTCTGAGCATGCTGATCTGATACTTGTGGTGTTCATTACCCTGCTGTATGCTGTGAATATTGGTTTCACTTATTATTTTTCGAGAATGAGGAAGAAGAAGATCAAGAACTTATTATTCTGAAAAAAGTCCCTTTAGCTGTGGTCCTACGAGGTTAACCGGAAGAGCGTTCATATCGATCGATGACCCACTTACATCGTCTGTGAGCTTGGCGAGTGTGCCGCCGGAGTCAATAGTGAAAGAGAACAATGAAAAACATGCCTCGTCTTTTGTAGCAATTTGATGCGATCTATGAATAAGTGCTACGACTGCATGAATAATCCCCTTATCCCCTTGTCGGTTGATCAGACGCTAAGAGTGGAAGTTACACCAAATCAAATAACTTTTCTGGAGTTTTCCAAATTTCACACCTGGTATGAACTTGTGAACAGCTGCTTATCATTTGATGAACATTTCTACCAGTGTTTTGCGTTTCAAAACAACACAGTTTCTTGAAGGGCACACAGGCACAAGCAGACTGATGCACACACATATTAGGGTAACGATGCAGACCCGCATGAAACAAAATGTCATTACCTGCTTGGGACGACAGACTTATCGGGGATCAGCTGGGTCATGCTGCGCAGGAATGCACTTATTGGCGAACATTTATCCGGAACCAGAATTTTAAGGTTAAAGGAGAAAATACGACATTTTTGGTAAGTTGAAATGTTTGTTTTTACAAATCTTGCAAAACATCATAGATATTCAACAGATTTTTCTTTGCTTTGACAGAAGATCGAATCCTAACAGTACAACTGAAACGTTTTGGGACATATGGAAATCTGGTTGCTGACTGGCTTAGTGGCTACTCTGCTGCGGGCCGGCCCGATGGAGTGGCTAATGGAGAGACTAACCCTAGTATTGGCTCTGTAAACTTTGCCCATGGACAAGAGGAGGCCAGTGTCTCGGTGCAGGTAAGAGACGCAAAGAAAGTTTTAGATCAAGTTCAAGCAAACACCGCAGGTGACCCACGGGAAACGAAGTGGCTGTTAGAAAAAATCTCATTAGCGATTATTATGTTGGCAATTCCTCTAGCGCCTGAGTGATGGATCATGGCTCTGGGGACATCAGTTGACAGGCTGTCACAGGAAGCTGAATCTGTAAACAGTTAAGAAAATGATGTTTTATCTTCACAGGTAGAGTGGCAAGGAGTGTGCAAATGGAGGGGTTGCCGGCAAAATTTAGTTTTGCTGATGTCTGCCCTTTTAAAAAGTTTTCGTTGTGTATCAGGGATTTTTAATAACAATATTTCTGACAGGAAAAACGGATGCATTTTGTTGTTATATAGAGAAAAATAGCTTGTACATTTTTGGTTGTATTGAAATATTTACTTTTACTTTGATGATCTGGATATGTATTTATCCAGTCTTTGATAGTTGATGTAAGAATTGTTTTAATTAATGCGTGGTATGGTATGTTTTTGTATGTGAAAAAGTATTTCCTTGTAATTTGTTGGTCTTGTTATTTGGTTGTTTTTTGTAGCTAGCTATGAAATGTCTCGTGTATAAACCTTATTATCCGGACCACATGGTTACTGATTTGTCTATTAGTGTAGGCCCCCACAGAAAACTCATATCAGATATACAGTCTTGTTTATTACCTCACTGTACAAGTTGTCAAAAAAGTACAGAAATGTAGTTTTGCACAGTTTTATCTAAATATTCAATGTTTTTTCAAACATGAGAGTTTGTTTAGTTTCGAGTGAAACAAAAGCTTGAGCAATGCAAAACGGAGGCAGTTCTTCACAAAATGGTATTGGAAGCTGAGAGTGTGATATTGGTTTGAAAGTGATTAAGAATTGAGTGCTGGGTTGAAAGTGGTTTAGAATCGAGTGTTGAACATTGTTTTGTGGTAATTTTGAGCTTGGTTTAGGTGGAGAAACCAGAACTGGAATTCACTGGTTGGCTAGATCTTTGGGAAGGGTTAGGCTCCCAGCTGTCTCCATCACTGTAGCAGTTGAACATTGGTTTCTTTTTTCTGATGACTACCTAAACCTAAGAGCTTTGGACGGTATAGTTGTATCCTGACATGTCTTCTCTGTCAGGTTTTACCTCAAGTTGAGCAAGCCGAAGTGTTTGTTCTGAGACTTCCTCGTGCGCCTCAGTCCCTGGTCAGTGGGGGAGCTCGTCTTGCCATGACTGACCTCATAGTTCGAGCAGATCCATCCGGCCTCATTCGCTTCTCTGATGATTCTCTGACACCTCAAGTTTCAGAGCTGGATGGGCAGGTAAGGTCTTTATTTGCTTTGTTCATTTGCATTTTAATGTGAATCATCTTTTTCATTTCATATTTGTCATCAAAGTGTGAAAACCTAGCCTTGTCTTACCTTCATAGTGTTTTTATTAGTTGGGTTTTTTTTGGGTAAATTGTTGTCAGTTTTCATGCTAGAGCTTTCCTCTTGCACTGTATAGATACTGTTTTAATCTTATTTAATAAAATGTTTACTAAGCAATAATTCAATATTAATCTTACACATTTGAAATCATGCTTTAGAAATGGTGCAAATGCTACCATGCTCTCTAGGTGAGGCAAAATCAAGATTAAAGCAGTATGATTAGTGTTGGAATGGCATATGAAAAGGCATGTGCTCATATTGTGTGCAGGGAACAAAGGGAGAGGTAGAGAAAGGATAGAAGTAAGCAGGAGTAAATAGCTGTATTTGATTCATTTCAGATCACCTTGACCATTTGGCGACTGTATGGATCAGAAGGACGCATTGCTGTCTACTACCAAACAGTGGCCGACACATCGTTATCCGGCCTGGATTACCAATCTGTTCCTGACAGTGTAGTTTCCATGGACCCTTTGCAGACTGTGGCCACCATTTCTGTCCAGGTTGATAAACTAACTTACTGCACCTTCCTCATATACATCAACTTCAATTAGTCTAATCTTAGAGAAAAGAGAAAAGCTTGTTTAATTTTTAACGCAAAATTACACAAAAAGTATACAGTAAAACCTTGGTGTAACGTACATGGCATAAACAGTTGTAATACGGGATGCCCACTACGGATGGGATCGGCAGATCGGGCCGATCGCCAGACTCGATCGCCTCAAAAACAAACGTGTTTGTTTTCAGTTTCAGGCGATCGAGTCGGGCGATCGGCCTGATCCAGCCATAGTGGGCACCCCGTATAACACTGGCTTTCTGAAGCCCCAAGTCCCATGCAGTAGTTTAACTCTGTTTGGCTATTACATAATTAAGCTAAGACATTAAAAATGTTGGGTCCGAAAGGAGTACATTGTGCCAAGGTTAAATAGTATTTGCTGTTATGGGGCTAAACATTTTAGAAATTTGGTTTGTTCAGGAACATCCATAGCCTCATTGCTATGTGGATCATCTTCACTATTATCATCATTATCCGCATCATCGACTCCATCAAAGTTAATCTCACCTCTGCCCTCATGATTCATGTTGTCTTGAACAATACTGACGTATATGCTTGTCCTCAACAAATTATTAATAGGAAAGTGAGAAAATTAATAGTGTGTGTGTGTGTGTTTGTGTGTGTGTGTTTGTGTATGTGTGTGTGTGTGTACATATGTGTGTGTGTGTGTGTGTGTGTGTGTGTGTGTGTGTGTGTGTGTATGTGTGTGTGTGTGTGTGAGAGATGAAGAGGTTGACAGACAGACAGACAGACAGACAGACAGACAGACAGACAGACAGACAGACAGAGGGGGGTGAGAGAGAGAGAGAGATAGAGAGAGAGAGATAGAGAGAGAGAGGGGGAGAGAGAGAGAGAGATAGAGAAAGAGAGAGAGAGAGAGAGAGAGAGAGAGAGAGAGAGAGAGCTATTCCATGTAAAATTTTTTCAATATTGAATTTGTGTTCATTCATTGAAGGTGTACCAAGACAACATTCCAGAACAGGCTGAAAAATTCTATGTGAACCTGACGAGAGTTGAGCTGTTCCCCACTCCTACTCAACCGGGTAAGTCAACAAGGGAGCAAATGTACGCGAACTTCAATTGCACTGAAAAAAATGAAAGAGCCGAGCATCAGACAAGGTGGTAAGAGAAAAATCAAGGAAGAGGAGAAAGGAAAAGAAAAAAACAAATGCTCACCAAGAGCTATAACCATACACTCTCTTTGATAGCTGCTAATAAAGATGATTGAGTGGACATGGGCTTGTCCCTCCTGCCATGAAGTTGGATCTTTGGCATAATCACAGAATAGCTATGGGGGCAAGATATTGTCACTGTCGCAAGAAATCCACTTAGTTCCAAATTTTGAGATTTTCAATTTTTACACCCTCCCAAAGCTCTATTAAAAATGCACCTCTCAACATCAGCAAAATGCAGTTTAATATTATGGTCAAGAAAACTAGTTTTTTGTCTCTGACATAAAAAGTACCCAAATAGACTTGAGTGGATTGCTTGCGACAACAATGATATTTGCCACATCATTTAAGGACTTACAGTCATTTTAAGTTGTGATTATTCAATGTTTTTACATCACCAAAACCTCATCTTTGCTTGAACGTCAGATTAGCCATCTAGACTGTCAACATGCACAGCTTTGTCATTCTGGATACCGACATAAGGTAATCGGGCCTGCCAGTATTATTGGTTTAAAAAAAATAATATTGGTGTTTTATGCCCCCATCGACACAATTGAGATAATTTAGGAAGTGGACTTTGACCCTGCTTATCAGGGCGAACTCAGGCTGAGAGGAATATGACACCCCAGCAGAAAGATGGAGATACTTGATAGAATTCTCCCCATGCAGGAATCAAACTCAGGTCTTTTGTTTGCAATGGCAAAATGCCTAACTGCTACACAACTGACACAGGTAATGCAAGCGGGAGAAACTTGCAATGAAATGTGGCGTCGATGGCCTAGTGGTTAGGCTACTGGACTCGTAATCATGGGGTTATTGGTTTGGGGATTTGAGCCGCGGGCCCGACGTTGTGTCCTTGGGAAAGGCACTTTACACAAATTTTCCTCACTTCACCCAGGTGGGAATGGGTACCCGGCCATAGACAGCGAAAGATCTTGTCAGTATGTTAGTGCTTTAGCGCCTATAAATGGCCGCTTGCACAGTATGCTTCCCAGGAAGTTGAGGTTGTTTCAGAATGCTCTCAGGTCTTCTGGGGTAATAGTATAGATTGTGAAGCGCTTATAGAGCTTGCTGTTGAGTGGGGATTTGCGCTATTCAAATGCTATCTATTTTTATTTATTATTAATATTAAGAGTAAAAAAACCTACAATAGAGAAGGATTAAGATAATTTAAAATGCTAAGTAATAGTTTTTCTTTGTTGATTCTCTTATTTTTGTGTAGTTCAAAGCCCAAGAGTTTCTCGACTGAACAGCCTGAGTCATGTGACTATCAGTGAGAGTAACGACCCTTACGGTATTCTGTGGCTGAGGCCCACGGAGACGAGAGTTGCAGAATCCTTCACATCTGTCACGCTGACCGTGGTCAGAACAGGTGGGTGTTTAGTTTTTCTATGTCAGTGTAAAGAATAAAGTAGTTTTTGTGATTTGTGTTAACATACTTTTAGCTTTGGAAAGGATCAACTTCTTTTTATTATTGTCATTTTGTTCACCTCTTAAATTTGTCATTTCTTAATATTCTATGTTCTCTTCATGGTAGAGAAAGCTTAACGAATTGTTCATAAAGCCCAAAAAGTTATGTTTATAAAGAGGAAAAATGTATTGCTATTGATTGTTTTGCTCATGCATATTCTCAGGTGGTCTTTTTGGTGCTGTGAGTGTAGTGGTGAGGACTGTGGGTGGTGGAGAGAGCTGGACCTCACAGATTGCTGCCAGAGACAGTGGCAATAATGACACCATTGCTGATGTTCTGGGCAAGAGGAACAGCCGAGAGGTAGCTATTGGAGGGCTTGACTATGATGTGCTCAACCAAGCTGTTGAATTTAAGGTAAAAGGCGAGGCTTATTATTTTTTATAAATACCGGCATAGGACAGTTTAGGTTTTGTCTGAAATGATTTTCTGTCTGCAATGATTTTCCTGCTGGGAAAAATATTGAGAGTGAAACTTTGCTGCAGCTATAACTTGTTTTCTTTTCCTAGCCCTTAGACATTAGTTTTAAGGTATTATATAATGACAAACATGTTTCAGCTTAAGGGGGACACCATTCATATTTTTTTTTTAAGTGGGCATTTTCTTTTAGGGATTTCCGTTCTTCTCCTTCAAGTTATATTTAATTAGATATTTCTGTATTTGTTTTGTTTATTGAATATGTACAAGCATCATCAAACACATTGTTTTGAAATATTTGCTTTTTTGTGTTCAAGGCTAATGAGAGGGAACAGCTTGTGACCTTGACCATTCTGGAGGACAACCTGGCAGAGGCTGCAGAGACTGTCCTTGTGTACCTGACACAGCCTGTGGGCGGAGCACGGATTGCTCTTGGAGCCCCCGATGGTGGCCAGAAGGTATCTTTCTGTCTTGTAATTTGATATTTAAAAAATTTATGGATGAGTGATAAATGGATTTAGTACTTGGACTTTGACCATCAAGCCGTATCACAATATCTGTAGCAAACATTTTGTCTGTGCGGCAAGTTTGATGGAGGCACTGTTGTCTATCACTGCACTCCGCAACTGCTACTCCTGTTGTGATGCGACCATACTTCTTAAAGCTATTGTTGTTGTAAACCTCGACAGAAGAAAGAAAAACAATGGTTGACACTTTTATGTTCATATTTGTTATAACTCATTGAACACTTTATAATGCAAAATTATAAAAAAAAGAAGATAGCAAATGAGTCATGAAGTTGGAAAGTCTATCAAAATGGCAGTACCTAGTTATATATATATATATATATATATATATATATATATATATATATATATATATATATATATATATATATATATATATATATATATATATATATATATATATATATATTTTCAACAGTCTTTAGCCTTACTCATTTTTGCCACACATTAAGCAAAATAAATGTTTAGTAAGCAAGACTCTTCATTAAGACACAGGTAATTTTTATATATATATATTACATTGTAAATATTTCTTTTGGAGGTTCAAAAAGAGAGATATGTTGGGATTAAATTTTTTTTTTTTGGTGAAACACCTTGACTGGCATTGAAAAAAGTGAATAGCAGTAGGTTCAGTGGTTTGGACTGTTGGAATTGTTTACTTTTGAAGTGTTAATGAAGATAACTGTGTGGTTTGTTACGCTACAAGCAGGCAAGTAGCCATATGTCTTCGTAATTCACAATTGGTCCCATTTTATTTTGTATAAATTATTATTCAGCAGACACAGCAATTAAATATGGAGCACAAAGAGAGCTAAAAATTACATTTTTGGTAGGTGCAGTACTTAACCTCCAAGCTCTGTGACCTTCAAGTCTATTTGATCCATGCACCTGAGCTCTTGTATGTCAATTGTTCTATGCCCGGCCCAATCCTTTGGTGCATGTTCAATGCATGGAAGAGTAAAAGTAGCCATGCTCAGGTGTTGGCTTGGGTCCATTTGGTTAAAGTGTAGTTCAGTCTTCAGAACAGAATTAGAATTGTGCTTTGATTATTTCAAAGAGTTCGAAATATTCAGCTATCTTTCATCGTTGCATCATTTTAGTCTTTTTTTGTACTTGCATTTCTATTGCAAAGAAATTTACTGATATACCAAAAGAAGAAAATCGAGTACAATGATATCTGTCATCAAATTCTGCAGGGTTATGCCATTGTGACTATAGAAGCAAGTGACTTGAGCAATGGGCTCATCGGATTCCGAGAGTCGTCTAAAAAGGTGGAGGTGGATGAGGACAGTTCTCCAAGGTTTGCACTTAAGCTCATCCGATTACAGTCATACTTCGGCACAGTTGTGGTAAGTATTCTCAGTTCTTCCCTCTCCCCCCCCCCTCCCACTCAACATTGTCTTTTAAGACTGTAAAGATGTGAAATGGTATTGTTAAATTGTTTATCCTAGATGTTTTACTTATCTTTTCATTTAATAATGTGGTTATCAATAGATTTAAAAAATACATTTGTAGGGTTTTGATTTTCTCCAACCTAGCACAATATTCATGGGACAGAAGTTGTGGAGAATGGGGGAGGGCTTGTTTTAAAGATTATTTAATCTGAAGGATGAAATAGCTAAAGTGTAAAAAAAAAAAAGAGAAAAAAAGTTTAACTTGTCTCATGACGAGTTTCAGTAGACTGCCGCCCAGAAGATTCTGTATGATCTGTTGATTCCAACTTTGTGTTCTTTGGATAAACAGTTTAGATGATTTCTCCTGACTCCTTTCATGTGTGCATTGGGTATCATTGCTTACAGGGACATATTGAGTGTTAACAGATTACTGCTCTGCTCTGTCTAAAGGTGTTCTGACATCCTTTATGTTTTACTGTGCTGGAATGAGCTCTGCCTCTGTGGGATTAACTGATCTTGAAGGAACTTGATTTATTATTAATGCAATGCAGCAGACTTTGTTTGAAATAAATTATGGTAGATACTAGAATGATGCCCTCTGTGGTAGAGACGGCGGAAAGCGCTTTTTCCCTCCAGAGCGAGAAGACCGAGAAGCTGACCTACTTCCCGCCAGGACCGGTCCCGAGAACGAGAAATATTTCCCGTCTCATGTCTAGGGCAATGCTTCTCGTCTCGTGACCAATTTGTCTTCTCGCCCCGCAGTTCGAGCCACTCGTTCAGCGAGAAGGCCGGCTGTGGCCGAGATTTCTCTTCTCGCCCCATAGAATGAGCAGCTCGTTTAGCAGGAAGGCCGGCCGTGGCGGGGATCTAAACTTAGAAACTATGCTTGCCCTGTTGCGCTGGTGCAGGCGGTGAAGGAAGGTAGGGAGACCAAGGCCTAGGCCCTGATCAACTCCCCACTCGCCTCGTCTCGCCACCCTCTCCCCTCCCTTTTAAGTTTCACACACAGGACGGCACGGTGATGGGTGGCACTGTCTGTGTTGTCATTTCTCGCCTCTCACTCTCTCCCTCTCGTTACTGTTAGTCGTTATGTCAAGCCAACGAGCAGTATCACGTCTTGGTACCGAGCAGTAGTTTAGTGCTCGGGCAGAGACGGGAACGGCGTTTCTCGCGAGAAACGAGTTCTCAGCTCGTCTCGTGCCCGCCCCTACTCTGTGGTCTCTTCACTGTGTATTAAAAAATATTTGGGGAAACTCATAAACAATATTTCTGTTCTGCTCAATTAATGTTTTTTCTGTGACCTCTTGACCACATCCAAGCAAAGTATAATCATTGTTTGCACAGGTTAAGTGGCGAGCAAAGAGTAGTTTGTCTGGGACAGTCACTGCAGAGCTGGTCAACCAACTGAATAAGACAGAGGGGGAAGTCTTATGTGCTCCTGATGAAACAGAATGTGACCTCTACATTGAGCTCAAAGATGACACGGTTCGTGTTAGCTTGTAATATATCATGGAAAGATAATTTCTGCTAGCCAACAGTTTTGCATAATTTTAATTGAGGAGAAATTTCAATCTGAGCTCTTACATTTTCTTAACAGGTAAAGAGTTCTCTTACCTCATGAAATCTTAACATTTTCTGTGCTCTTGAACATTATTTTAACGGATAACTTCCCATTGGTCTTAAGCTTAAATAGGCGGTTCATAAAGATATACCTAAAACATATGAAGATTTGAGTTCACAGCATGACTCAATAGATGTATCATGTCATAGGCTGTATCAGATTCAAGTGAAAATGTATTTGTCCATTTAGAAACTTGAGGACAAAAATACAGTATTCAATTTAGTCAAATTTGTTGTTGAGTATTTATCTACACTGAAAATCCGCCTAGAATTTTATTAAAATTCAAAATTTGTGTAGAACTCCCATCTCCTCCGTTTTTAGATGAGATAATCATTTTTTGCAGCAAATGATCATCTTTTACTTAAGACTTGAATAACAAAATTCAAATAATACATGGCCAATTGTTTTGCTCACTCTTGGACTTTCTTTCAGGATCCTGAAGAAAAATTCACCTTTTATGTGGAGCTGATGAGTGCTGCCACTGATGCACGACTTATTGAAGATAGCACAATAGCAGAAGTCACCATCCTGCCAAGTGATGATGTTAGAGGACTCATTCAGTTTGCTCCAAATTACAGGTGTGAATCTTTGAGTATTTACGCAGTGTGAAAAAGAAACAGGATTTTGAAATAATTTGAATGAAGTTTTATTTGCCATCAAATTGTTGCTCAGCATAAATCAGCTTTGGGAAAGCAAGTTGTAGGAATTACAGAACAATCAGACAAAGAGCTAGAAAAATAACAGATTAGAAAGAGGTTCCAAACAACGAAAAGTAAATTTTTTTTTAGTCTAAAGAATGAAAGGTCAGTAATATATCATTTCTATTTCTGGGATAAGTCAGTGTTTTGATGATTAAGAATTTCTTGGACTTATTATATGCTGTCTTTCAGTCTGTCTTTCCTGTCTGATTCAACGGATATCATCTTGTCAGAAGACAAAGTTCAGAAAGTTTAAATCCATTTGAAAACAATTATCTCTCAGTAACTAATTTTGAATGACTTCTGCTACAGTTGAATGTTTGGTAAAAAAAGCTAAGGGAGCTCATGAAGTATCGATGTTGTGTTTGGGTTTTTTAACCATACTGTATCATCCTGTATAGGTAAGACATTAGTGCCAAAGGATTGTACAGGCAAATATTATTCTTAATTCTTTAAAACTTTGGTTAATGTCAAAAGGGGAAAAATGATACATCACTGATGATTCAGTTTCAGACACTGAATTTTAGACTTCTCAGTTTGGGGCTCAATTTAAAGAATAAGAGAGCACCTTGCTGTAGAATGATGTTGTCTTTACGTTTGTTTTTTGTTCTAGAGGTATCATCTCTGACTCAGAGGTTGACGTGTATATACCCTACATCTTTCATGGTCGCGAGCTTCTGTTGCACATTCTGCTGTATCCAGGCTTATGTTGTCCCTCCACATTATTCTTTGCTGTCCTCTAGCTCTGCTGCCCCACATCTTTCCTTCAAGCTCCTGTTTCACTATGGTCTCGTGGCGTCTTAAGTGGCAATATTATTGTATTTTTCTATTTTTCTTTAGTATTGTATTATTTTGTTCTTTTTGTTTCTTTAAATGTGTAAATAGCTGTTTATAATTTGTGTATATATTTAAACAGACTGGTGACTGTCGGAGAGAATGACCGCACTGTCCGGTTGGCAGTGGAAAGGACTAAAGGGCGAGACTATGAGGTGTCTGCAACCTACACCACTGTACAGATGTCTCAGCGAGTGTTGGTGGCTGGCACTTATGTGTACCCTGCCCTCGATGCTCAGGACTTCAGGGGTCAGACAGGGTCACTGTTGTTTCCTCCACAATCACAGGTCAGAATATGAAAATCTTGATCATTTTGTGATTTGTATATTGTGAGTGAACACACTTAATGGAGAGAGAGAAGAAAGACAGACGGACAGAGAGAGACAGACAGACAGACAGACAGACAGACAGACAGACAGAAGGACAGACAGACAGACAAAAATCCATTGACTTATATGTATATTTCATTGCATCCAAAGTAATTTCCAGCCCTGAATGCATCAGTTTGCTACTCTGATTTTCTAGCTTCCTGCTTTGCTTGCTCTCTTATATATTCTATCCATCACCATCCGCTATTCAGTCCTTCTTATTATACTGCCATGATAGTCTTATTTAAGTGTTCCCTATAACTCTACTGATAATGATTATGATGTGGTCTGGACAGTAGGTCTGTTGCAGAGGTTTTTGGGTGAAGGATGTCCAGCTCAGTCTTTGTCTTTCCATCTGTCTTACAAAACGTTTCGAATCAAGAGTTTCTCATTGTATACCGCAGTGACTATCCTGTAGTAATTTTGAACTGACACATAACAAAATTTGTCAAGATATTTACCAGATTTTTGTGCTATGGTATTAAGCTCCTACATATGGGGTTGATATAATTTTTTTTTAAAATAAGCTTTCTTCATTGTTCCGAACATATTTGCATTTTAATTTTGATAAGTTAGTGTGGCTTGTCACTGTGGAAAAAAAATGCGGAGTGGCTAGCGTTTAGCTACAAGAACGAATTTGGTCGTTTAGCCTGACGCTACTGGCCCGAGGGGATTTCTGCGCATGTTCCGTGTTCTGGCCTGTAGGGGTCTCTCTCTCTTTCTCTCTCTCTCTCTCCTCTTTTTTTCTCTTTCTCACTCTTTCTTTCTCGCTTTCTCCCCCCCCCCCCCCTTTCTCTCTCTGCCTGCAGACAAAATTGTTCACTTTGACCTCAGCGCTGGAACGTTTGTTTACACTCGTATCACGGGCCGTCACGCGCTAAGATAAGGTCGCGCTCAAGTTTCGCTGAGGCGCAAGATAGGGTAATTGAAATATCTTGGTAGGCTTAGTAGAGCATCTTTGATAACATTACAACGCTGCTTTTCTATTTTTAGTAACTTTGTCACCGGCATTCCAATGAATAATAAAAAAGGGTGATAAATCTAGTCAACTTGCGAGGGAAGCCCCGTAGAAAGTTGCCTTTGAGAATAGCTAAAATTGCAAGAAATATTAGCAAAAGTTGCGCTGATGGCAAAAGTTGTGCACAAAAGTTGTGGGTTGCGGGCACAATTTCCTCTGAGGACAGAAAAAAATAGATGCCGGAAATACGTCATCTATATTTTAACCAATCACAGAGATTTGCTAGGTGCGCTTTATAGCTTCGTGTTGGTCAGTAGGTCGCGAGGCCGTGTTTACACTACCTAGTACTAGATCTAGGTAATCAGCTCTGGGTGGGCAGAAAAATGCTAGCCACCCGAGGTCGCAGAAATCCCCACGGGCCAGTAGAGTCAGGCTAATCGACCGAATTTGTTCGAGTAGCAAAATGCTAGCCACCTCACATCTGGTGGCTAGCACCGGCCAAAAAAAATTACACTAAAATCACTTCTTTGATTGAGAAGTATTTACCTTTCCACACTCATTGTGGTGAAATTTTTTTTTCATTGTGCCCGCTTGCTGTACAACAAAGTCAACTCAACACCTGGCATGCCTTCCACTTAATGTTGCTTGATCTATCAAACTCTTTTTTATGTTACTCTTTATCTTACCACTCATCTTTGCTTTCAAAGAACAAAATGTTTCGTCAAAACTAAGTTTAAAGCTGTTCATGACTTGACAGGAGCTTGAGTTTATGGACGTCAGCTTGACTCCTGTGCTGGCTTCAGATAACCCTTTGCCCAAACAGTTCTTCATCACTCTCTCATCACCTACTAATGGGGCCAGGTAAGTACACACAGGCTTCTGCTTTTAATTAATCTATTAATTCATTTTTTTGGTTTATTTATTTATTTATTTATCACTCTCTCATCACCTACTAATGGGGCCAGGTAAGTACACACAGGCTTCTGCTTTTAATTCATTTATTTATTCATTTTTTTGGTTTATTTATTGTTTTTTTCATTCATTCATTCATTCATTCATTCATTCATTCATTCATTCATTCATTCATTTCTTTATGTTAGCGTGTTTATTTGTTTGCTCATTATTTCTTAAATTTATTTATGTATTGAGCAATAATATGTTTAAAAAAATTACTATTGTCCATTCATAGAGTTATCTATAGTTAATTTTATATAGGCCTACCTTTTTATCGTTATTAATTAATTCATCAATGAATTTACTTTTTCTTCATTTATTGTTTTAATTATCTTGTTTACTTTCTTATGCACTACCCAGTCTGTTTATCTACTGTGCCAGTATATTTATTTAA